TGGTGATTGTGGCTGTAGCCACAGTGAAGTATTTTCTAAATCGATCGATGGGTCACAGATACCAGAAGCTTCAGGTCTACTAGCCGTGGACTCCTGGGTGCCTGATAGAACAGTTCCCTAACAAGGGTTAGGAATAAACCAGGAAGGCCTAAAAAGCAATAAGTGTACCGTCATGTTCAAATCCCAGCGACAGTGTGTTTCATTATGGGATGGCTGAAATGAATAAATAGTACATCTGGTCACTTTGTTTTGGACAGAGTCTCTGTTACCCTATAACTCTAATTGGCCTGAAACTTGCTATGTAGACCAGGCCAGTCTTAAATTCACAGAGATCCTACTACTGTGTCCCCAGTGCTGGGACTGAAGGTGCGAGCCGCCACATCCAGCTCAGCTTCTTTTTTTAGGTGCTAAATAAAATGTGTGCCATCTCTAAAATGTAAAGAATCAATGCAAATATCCAACCCTTTGAAAGATAAAAGTTGTAATTTGAAACTGAAGTGGAGTGGGCTCTTCAGACTGAAGCTGCTGCTGACCTGCAGTCTGGGTACCTCTCTCCTGTGCAGCTCACAAAGGGGTTTTGGTGACAAGAATCTGAAAGTAAAATGAGACATCAGACTAGTTTCTGAGTTATGAGATAAGAAACACTCCTTTTTTATTTCCCATGAGAATGAGCAGATGTTATTGAAGACTCTAAGGTAAACTACTCTGTACCTGCCAAATAACAAAGCTAATTATTTTAAACAAAAAGAAAATGCAACTCCATCTTGCCACCTAACCAACACACGCTTTCATGTTCCAAATAAATCTAAGTAGGAATCTCAGATTGTCAAAGGCATTTACTTCTTTTATTTTTTGTTATTTTTTCTTCTATAAATATGCATCACGCACACCACATATTACAGGAAATCCATTGATATACAACATAACAAAGATACCACCCCAGTCCTTACAGGCTTGCTGCTTTTCCAGCCCTAAATCAAAGCAGAAATTCCACATTTACTGCTTTTAAGGCTTTGAATAATTTTTAAAACTTTTTCCTGGTTCATCCACCCCAACCCCACTCACCTCCTCCTCTTGTACCTACCCCCTCCTCTTGCAACATCCCCCACAAACAAGATTTTTTTTTCTTGGTTTGTTGTAGTGTGTCACAGTGTGTCCCACAGTATACCCTTTTGCCCACACTTTGATTTCAAAATATTCATTGCAATGACTCATTGGTCTGGTATGAGGCCTCTGGCTTCTGCTACTTTATCAACACTGGACCCTCCCTGGGACTCCTCTCAGATATCCTGTGGTTGCCCTGTGTCATGGAGACCCTATAGTTTTGGGTCTGTAGGATCTGCTTCTTCATGCTCTCCAGCAGTTCATCAATGGGGTAAATGTTAGAGCAGGCCAAGTCAAAGTCTTGGATCTGGGCCTGAGGGTATCTGAGCTGGTCAGCCCACCTGCTCTTCAGCTCTCCTGCTCTCAGGGTTAGCTTACCCAAAACCCTGCTACCAGGGCCAGCTCTACCCTGTTGCCTAGGCAAGGTGACAGCCTGCTTTCTCAAGTGTTGCAGTCATTGAGAGACATGGTCAGCTCTCCTGCCTGCCATAGATATCGAGGGATGAGGGAGGGGAGGAGGGCTCTATCCCTCATTTGCACCACCACCACCCAGCAGACAAGAAGCAACTTTCTGATACTCACACCCTCAAGCCTGGCTCACCCTCAACTTCCACATCCATTGTGCTGCCCAGGCAAAGTACAGGGTCTGCTCTCCTGAGTGCTGCAGCAGATGAGGGACAGGGCCACCTCTCTTCTCTCTGATGACCATGGGGCCAGCTCTCCTGCCTGCCATAGGTGGCAAGGGGTAGTGGTGGCAGTGGTGATCTCTCCCTCATCCATGTCACTGCATGGCAGGCAAGTGGCAGGGCCAGCTCTCCCACACTCACCCTCAGGGCTGGCTTACCTGGACCCTTATCATGAAGGTCAGCTCTACCATGCTGCCCAGGCAAAGTGCAGGGCCCGCTCTCCTGAGAGCTGCAGCTAGTGATGTACAGGGCCAGCTCTTCTGCTCTCATGACCCCAGGCAGGTCTCCTGCCTGCCACAGGTGATGAGTAGACACCTACTCAAGTAGGGAAGAAAATATCTCTCCTTCATCCACCCAGGAGATGAGTGGTAGGGCCAGGTCTCCCACATTCATAGCCTCAGGTGATGGCTTACCTGCAGCGCCTGCAGTATATGGGGCCCACTCTCCCAAGTATTGCAGCTCTCCTGATAGCATGCCCTCAGAGCCAGTTTTCCCATGATGCCCAGGTGAGGGGTAGGGCCAGTTCTGCACAGACTTCAGACATTAACATGTCCCTAAACAGCAACCCACACCAAGCATGTCCATCTAGCATTGGTGATAGAAGACCCCTGCTACTGAAGAGTCACAGACCCAGATGTGGCCCCCAGTGGCAGCACAGACTGTGACCCCACCATGGTCCCAGGTATCGTTATCAGCTACTCACATCAGGCCACTTCTCTTACCCTTGACTCTCCAGTTCTACCTCTCTTCATTGTGCCCACATTCTCCTCTTTCTCGTTCTCTTCCATTTCTCCATCACTTACTCCATGAGAGCACAAGTCATTAGTGATATCTGAGGTCTCTGCATGTCTGGAGTCATTTCAGGACTGGCTTCAGGAGTGCTATGCCCCCTCCTAGGCCTACGAGGCACTGGACTGGTGATCATCTCAGGCTAGCTCCCTGTCCAGGTCCCATGGCACCTTGCTCATCTTGGGCTTGTTCCTTGCCTGGCCTGCCTGAGTGGCTTTAAGCCCAAAACAGGTGATCCTTGCATGAGGCCACTCAGGCAGGTCAGGCAAGGAGCAAGCCCAAGATGACTGAGGTGGAGAAGAATTTCTAAGCAGCCAGGGCGTCCATGCTCCACTACCCACCACTGAAAGGTCATCTTTGGAAAAAGGATGCTTAAATGGAGCTGTAAACTTGGGCAAAGCACCTGTCTTGATAAAGATCCCCAGGTAATGGTGGCTGGTGAGCCTTTAGCCACATTAAGAGCCTATAGCCACTACAAGAAACCTACTGGATGAATCCTTCTATTTGAAGGGCATTTGATATCAATCTTTATTTCCTAAAATGTTTTACAAAGTAAAATCTACTTGTATGCTCCCTTCAGGAGATTTACTTAGTCAAGCACTCCAGAAACGCTAAAGCAAAAAGGGAGGAATGAAGTATCAGGCGTGGGCTAATCAGAGGGACAGAGGTGACCTAGCCTTCCTGATGTTCTCTGCTCCCGTTGTCACCTTACTCCTGACTCTCCCTCCACTGGGCCTGCTCAGGACAAAAGATTCCAGGTCTTTTCTAAATAGGAGTAGGAGTGGACCTCCAGGCTCCCTACCTGGTCGGCTTCTGATAGGTGCATGTGAGGCCTTGCTGCTGACTGGCGGTGATGAGCCCCTTATCTGCCTTCCCTGACGTCATCCTGTCCTGGTAGAAGGTAGAGGCAAAGCTTCTCAGTCTTACTGAGCTGGTAATTGGCAAAGGACATTTTTGTAACGAAACTGAAATGATCCTTAATTAATGTGAGTTGTTTGTCAAATGTCCACCTCAGTACCTCAGAGTCAGTCACCAAGCTCCACCAGACACCAGGCCTTCTCCCCTTCAGAAGTCAAGACAACTGAAATTTTATATCACACACTTTTTAACAGGGACCGAGAAACCATTTCTTGGCCAAAGATAAGGGCTCATTATAGATATTTCTAATGAATACTTTCAGACAGGGGAAAGAACAAAATCTCTAATCAAATCCCCATTCTCAAAAAAAATGTTCTGAGCACAATTCCATGTTCAAAGTCAACCCGGGCTATGCCGAGAGAGCTTGTCTCAAAGGGTAAAAGAAAAACAGTGATAACCTTGAAGGTGCCGAGTACAGCACAGCCTGCTTCTCCTGTCAGGAAATAAGGTGAAGGTGGGGGCGGTCTTCCTGCCTCAGGGACACGATGTTTCTGACCTGTTCTTGTTTGCTCTTCAGCTTTCTTGGGTTATTTTCAGGTTTCCCAGATGTTTTGAGAACTTGACTGTGGACATATGTGCAGCTCACAGAGGAGGCACTGGGTTCTTAGGATTCTGTTTCAGCCTTCTCATTTGCAAGCTGAGAGCTAGACTCCCAGCAGCTAGGCTCTGATTTGTTCCCTTCCAAACAACTGAATCAGACTTTTTTTTTTTTTTAATGGTTTTGGGTTTTTCCATACATGGTTTCTCTGTGTAGTCTTGGCTGACCTGGAACTTACACTGTAGACCAGGCTGACCTCAAACTCACAGAGATCTGCCTGCCTCTGCCTCCTGAGTGCTGGAAGTAAAGGAATCATGCCCAGCCTGAAGGACAATTTTAAATACATCATCAATCATTTATATCATAGTGACTTGTGTTGTCAATGATCTACATCATCAATGACTTGTTTAGTTCAGTTGTTCTGCTTAAAAGAACTTACAGAAAACAAACAGTCTGGCTTCCTGGAAAATACTTTATTTTTTTACAAGATTACTGGCAAGGTGCAGAAATGAATTCTCACATTTCCAGAAGAGCAGAAAGAGACCCACCTACCTATCACCACCCAAATAGTAAGTAGACATTTAAAAACAATCTTTAATTGGCCACAGGGTAAAGAGAGGCAACCCTGTTTTTCCTAATGTTTTGTACATTTTAAGACAATGATCAAATTCTCAACAGTGAATAGTAAGAACAAAATCAGCGTTTTTTTTTCTTTCTTTCTTTCTTTCTTTTTTTTTTTTTTTTTTTTTTGTCTACAAACAGAGCAACGGCCTTAGAGTTAGCGCTCAGGGATCTATTTAGTAACACATCACAGAGAGTCCCTCGGGTTCTTCCACCTGTCTGCATGGCTGTGTAGACAGTAGTCAATATCTGGCTTCTGAGTGATCGATCACACATTACATGCTGGTAAGAAACAGACTTGATTTCAGTTTTCTGGAATACTCAGTGAGAACAAGTAGGCGAGTTTACCCCATGGCCTTGCTCTGATTGACTTCTCTGCGGATCTTCAGTGGTCCCACTGTTTGGAAATATTCAGTTTCTTCTACTTTGACCTCCGCAGAGATTGTGCCTCTCCTTTCCCGACTGGGACAGCCTTGTGAGCATCGGGGAGAGTGGTCCCCGAGTCGGCAAACAGCAACTTTACACTGCAGGTAGACTACGTCGTAGCTTTTGAGGAAGCTGAAGGCATTGAACTTGAACTGGGCCACGTTCTTCTCAGGAGCATGGAGGTTGGAGTAGGAACTGTCTTTGATGCAGCTGATGGATGAAAAACCCAGACCTAAAAGGTTAGCTAATATATGACATGACTTTTCTCCAACCCACATAACCAGGCTTAGTTCTAAGATTCCAAATCCCAATGGAGTGCTTTCCACTATCTCCATTTTCTGAATCAACTACTACTAGTTTCCATTGTTAATGAAAACCCCATACCTGGCCATAAACAGAAGGGAACAGTTAAATACAGTGAAAACAAATCAAGGTTTTTGCTGCAACCTTTGCCTTCTAGGTCTACCCTATTTTGCCTACAGGGAAGATTACAAAGTGGCTGTTACATTTAAAAGTGAACTTAGATTACTTAAGAACTGATAACGCAGGTCAGTGGTTGAATACTTGGCTAGCATCCCCTATGCCCCAGGTTCAATTCCCAACACTACCCAAAGAAAGTATATTGTAAACCATAAGGCGGTGTAAGTGGTGCATCAAGAAGAGATAAAATGAAGTTATGTAGAATGTGCAGCTAAAAAAGAACCAGAGAAGGCAGAAAAGACAGTAGAGCAGCTTTTCATTTTATACAGAACAAACTGCAGAGAGAGCAGAATTGACAGGGACAAGAGGGGCATTTAACAACAACAAAAGAAAGGGGCAAACTTCTGAGAGGAGATTCTTAACCAAGATGATGGAAGTGAGAAAGAATCTTTAACCATATACAATAATTGTTAGTGTCATGTACCTACAAGCTGAGCATTAAAATGTGGGAGGCAGAGACTGCAATCAGATACTGACAAACACACTACATAGCTGGATGCTGCAATATCCCTCTACCAATTGATAGGTCCAGCGGGTTGAAGGTCAGTAAGAGTACAGATGACCTAAGGATCTCGACTAGATCTCAACATTAATTAAACAGTCTATCATACAACAACAGACTAAGTCCAGATAGAACATTCATTAGATCAGACCTCATTCTGGGCCATAGGAAATACTCTAAAGTCTCAAAAGGAGAGAAATACATTCTCAGGTAGCAGTGGGATTAAACTTGAAGTCAACAGCAGCAAAAATTCTCAAAGACTTGAAAGTAAACAGTATACTTTCAGGTAACTGATGTTTCAAAAATGCCCTAAGAGAAATTTGAGAGTGTTTTGAATGAAGTGAAGATGAATGCCTGTGCTGGTTTGGATGAGAAGGGCCCCTAGAGGCTCATTTTGAACACTTGGTCCCCAGTTGGTAGAACTGCTAAGGAAGCCTTGTTGGAGGTATGTGACTGGGAGCAAGATTTGGGTTTCCAAAAGACTAGTGGCACTCCCGATGCTCTCTCTGCCTCCTATTTGTGGGTCAAATGTGAGCTCTCAGCTCTCCCTGCCACTGTCCTCCACTCTGCCACCACGGACTCTCACCCTCTAAACCCGTAAGCCGAATTAAACACTTTCTTTTACAGGTTGCCATGGTCATGATATTGTGTCACAGCAGTAGAAACGTAAATGACACAATACCCAACTTATCAAAGTTTTTGGGATGCAACTAAGGCAATGCTTGGAGGTGGGTATTTATAACATTAAAATGCATATAATTTGTCAAGATGTCCTATCAATAATCTAATATGTAAAGGTTAGAGAAAGGGGGAAGGAAAATTAGGTCTAAAGCAAGAAGGAGAGTGTGCTAGCTGGAAAATTCTGGCACCAATCGAACCCCTTGCCTTATTATGACCATAAGGAGGGTCAAAGGGGAAGAACCTTCTCCCTCTGGAACTCAGGTTATGTGTCTCAAGCCACCACTCACCGAAACCTGAGACAGGTACTGCTGTCTTGTTCCTCTGTTGATCTTTGGAAACAGGTGCCTCACTGTTCCAGTGGGCTTAAGGCTGCTGTGGCACTTACCACACTAAAACTGCCACTGAGTAAGTCATGCGTTTCTTAACTGGTTGCCAGTTAACCTCATTCATGACATTTGGCCCCTGTTCTCAAGGCATGACCACCCTCAGCTCGAAATCAGAGCAGCTGGCATCATCCCCCACACCTATTAGCATTCCTTCATACATGGAGTGGAAAGGTCATTAGCTCTTCAGTGGATTCCAGCCACTCCCTCCTACCCAACCCCAGCTGTGTGTTAGAGGATATGAGGTAGAAGCTTAACTGAAGCAGGACTACGTCTATACAACAGTCACGAGGATATGTCATCCATGCTGGGGTGGCACATGGGGTCACCTACACAACTCCTTACACGTGCTTCTGCAAATGAACCCAGAATACCTATTTGTCCACCAAGCTGGACTTGGATGGAATTCTTTCTCTGGGTTTGTCCTTCATGCTATCTGGAGCAAACAGACATTTGTGTATGTTCCCTCATGGAGAGCAACTGCAATAACACCTGATAAACTGAAGAGCAGGCAAACAACCTGCCAACATTCTCATCTGGCAAAGCATTTAGTGAACCAAAGGAGCTGGAAGATATCTGGCTAATTTATCTAAGGGCTTAGTTCAAGAGAACACATTGACCTATTACGTGAGCCAAAGTCAGGAAGGTTTGTCCTGGGAGGGGGAGATTAGAAAGGAAGAAGGGCTTAGCTAGAAAAGGTAGAATGGGCAGCAAAGCAACTCTGAAGACCCAAGGGAGCTTGTCTAGGCTGCTGTATCCCGCACTGTGATCAGAGGTTTGGTCAGAACACCCTATACTCTTCTAACTTCTAAATCTAGGTTCAGAAACTACAAGTTCCCCCAGAGAAATACCATGCACATTTAACATCAACTAGGGAGAGTTTCTATTTCCCTTACCCTTCCTGGATCAAATCATACTTGACAGTTGTGAAATCACTGGCATCAGGAGAAGCCACACAGGTGTCCACGATGAGCCTCAGATTGGGGTTGTGGCTGTGGAGGGTGGCCTGGAGGAAGACTTCTTCACTCTGACTAGCATAAGGAGCTCTACCCCCTGTATTCTGAGATACAGGTGACTGGAGGAATGAAATCGATACATCATAGCTGACATCGTCCTTCTTGGCGTCACTCCCATGCACAATTTCAACTGCAGACTGGCCATTCACTTTGCAAGTGAACTTCACCTCGGGTACCTTGTGCCTCACAATGACTCGGCCAGGGTGGCTTTGTGTTCTGCCTCGGATGGAGTTGGAGTAGCTGAGAGAGCCTTGGTGCTCCTGTGAAGATGAGAATAATTGGTGGACAGTGTACCTGTGCTGGATACCAGCTCCATGCCATGTTTGAGGGCTAGAGTCCCTGGCTGGACTGCTGTGGTAACATCAGGAAGGTGTGTGTGTCAGGGGAGTCCCATGAGTAAGTACTACTTCCTTCCTGTCATGACCAATCTATAGAGCTGTGAGCTGGGTGGCAGGTCTGCTACGGCTGCCTGGAGCCTCTTCTCCTTTGAATTCCTCTACACATCTAATTACAACTGGCACCCCACCACCCTGACCATACACAACTTGGATCCTGTGTTTTCTCTGCCCTTGACCCTAAGGTAGATTTGGCTGCAGATCTATTCCTGTCAGTCTTGATGTCTAGCCTTGTTTCTTGCTTGTATCCATTACACACCAGCAGGATATAGAGGTCTGAAGTAGACTGGACAGCATGATAGGTAGGAGCCAGCACCCGTGCTTTCTCAAATGCCCTGAGTGGATGTCCAGGGACGCAGCTTGGCCAGGAGCATTTCTGAAGCACATGTGACTCAGATCCAGAGACTCTCTGCTAGGGGCCACCTTTATCCTAGACAGAGGGGCCTTCTGGCTGAGCTTCAGCTGCACACATCTCAGTCAAGAAGTGGGATTTTTAGGCTTGAGAGATGGCTCAGCAGTTAAGAGCACTGACTATTCTTCCCAGAGTTTAATTCCCAGCAACAACACGGTGGCTCACAACCATCTGTAATGGGATCTGATGCCCTGTTCTGTTGTGTCTGAAAGACAGCTATAGCATACTTGTATAAATAAATCTTTTTTTTTTTCAGAGCAAAGAGGATAGAAATGATTGTGATCTGTACAACCAAAGAGCAGACAAAATGGGAAGAGTGGCACCCGAGGACTTATGTGGGGCGCATTGCATGGTTGGTTTGAATGTGGGGTCAGGTGAACCTTTTGCACATGTACAACAGGGAAGCAGGAAGACACCATCAGGGCCACACTTTGCATCAAGTCACTGTCAAATACACTGAGAAGGTTATCCTGGCAGAACAGTTCCTTCACGAGTACACATCCCCTAACTTCAATGCCGTTGGTTCAGGAGATAAGAAGATGCTTGTAGAGAATTAAATAGACAAGCATATTTAATGACTCCTACATGTCTGCTTCTTATAGTGTGGCATGTGCCTAACTACTTAGAGACATAGCAGGCAGACAGACAACCTGTCCTCCCTCATCCCCAGCACCATAACTTGCTCATGGTTGATGTTTAGTTCAAGAAGCATGTTGTGACAAATGCTGGCTTTGAAACTGGGAGACTATTGTCAGGCGTTCACCGCTCACCTATCTGTCACATACCTCACCGCACTCAGCGTCTGTTACAGATCATCTCAGGTTGAGTGTGTGTCTGAAATTCTTCGGGTGGCAGAACATTTCAGACAAATTACTGCCTGCGCTGCTTCAGCAGTGACTTCCTCTATCGTACACAGGTTTTGATAGGCAGTGTAATTTTCTAAGTCCCTCTTCTTGCATGCCATCCATAGACAGCCACTACCTCCCTGTTGGCCTCTTACCTGCCTGACGGTGCCACAGTGGCCATATGGAATATTGAAAATGAGGTAACGCCCAGTGACTTGGGGGCGACACATCTTATCATTTAAGTGGATGTCCCAGGAGGAGTAGCCTAGTCTCCGGAGATAGCCTCGGTCAATGACAGCTTGGAAGAGGTGAGGCAAGCAAGATAGCTGGGCTGAAGGAGAGAAAGAGATATAAACTGGCACATTGACAAGTACCTCAGGGACTGTCCTATGTTAAAAAAGTACCACGGATAGTGCTCTGGGCTGGGTTGGGCCTGCCTTAGCATCCTTTACTTTATCCCTATGACTTGACTTGCATAGATGCACTCGAGAGCGCACTCGAGCACGCGCACGTGTGTGTGTGTGTGTGTGTGTGTGTGTGTATGTGTGTGTGTGTGTGCACATGCATGTGCAGGAGGTCATAGGTAAATGTTGGATATCTTCTTTGATGATTGTCTATTTTTTGAGGTAGGGTCTCCCATTTAACCTGGAGCTTGCTAGTGTGGCCAGACTGGCTGGACAGCAAGGCCTCAGGAGCCTCTTGTTGTCTCCACCTTCCCAGTGCTGGGATTACAGATGCGTACAATTGTCCCTCGGTTTTACATGGATGCTCAGGACCTCATGCTTTACTGTCAATGGCTTTACTAACATTCTCAAAAGGGCTCTTTACAGTTCATGCAGGTCAGAGCTTTGTCTCGGTAGTTAAAGGGCAACTCATGGCATGCTCTGCCTGAACATGCATCTGTCTGGACCTCTGCACAGAAGTAAGCGGGAAGAAGAGTAAAGCAAAAATGGAGAGAACCCGAGTACAAAGGAGCTTCTTCTCCAACTTCCCCCTGTCTAGGCCTGTGGACTTCCTATTCCTCTCTACTCAGCTACTCTCTCAGCTCCTTCCCAGAATAGCTTCAGACCTCAAGAGGAAAGATGACCTTACCATTATCCTTGGGTACAAGAGAGTCTCCTGGACCTGTTGACGAGATGAAAAAGGAATATCACTGGACTGAAACTTACCGGGGGAGAAAAGTAAGCTATTATTAGACAAACCATTGCAGCTGAAGGGTAATGACACGAGAACATTCCAGAAGATGCAAAGATTACCCAGTGTCTTCTGACAGAAATAGATTCTGACTCACATGAAGTAGTACCAAAAACATAGGTGTTACCAACATTAAGATTTGCAGTAGCAAACACCTCTGCATGGATGGGCTCTTGGTTTCTGTTTCTTTCTACACACAGGCATGCTTGGGGCCCCAGGTTGAGAAAAATGCACTCTGGGATATCAGGAATGTCTCTGGCTCAGAATCAAGACAGGACAGTGTCCCAGGGCCAAGACTCATCCCAAGAAATATACACTCAGATTCACTCTAGCCCTTTAGACACATCAGATATCTTTGGATGTGGGGAATGAGCCCCCTTGGTTTACAGAAGAACAGAATGTGGATCCTTACTAAAATTCTTAGGGGATGGGATTCTTAGGGGGATGGCTGAACTGTGAAGAGGCATCACAACTGCCTAAGTCTGGGAGGTACAGGCCCCAGAATAGATTGATACAGCTTTCACTTCCTGGGAAGTGCTTGGCTTTTGGGGACTCTTTTCTTTCTTGGGCCCCATGTCCATGTAAAACAGGGCTTGCACAGGAGAAAAGCAATGTTCACCAATAATCAAAGTAGCAACAGAATAGAAGAGGTGAACTCAGGCTTCTTCAAGTCTTAGAGTTCTCCAACTCTCTGAAATTTGCATGGGCCAATTTAGGGCTAACTTAGAACCATTAGAAGGAGGTACTGTGCCATGTAGGTGGTAGTCAGAATGTTAAGAAAGACAGCTGACAATAAAGTATAGATGCAGGCAAAATCTTAGATACAACAGACACAGGGAAGTTGGGGCACTGTAGAGTGTGTTTTAGATGCTGGGGGTTAGTTAGGCCCAGGTGATATGGTGTCTCCAGAATGTGACCCTTGATGACTTCAGAGACAGAAAGTAAACAGGACAAGCTGTGTCTGGCCGCAACAGTTGCTATGCTCTTAATGGTTCCATGAAGCGGTCACTCCCTTCTTTGAACATCATAATTCTTCAGCTAGATTTCTGACTGAAACATTTCACTGATCTGGGATTAGAGCAAGCTAATTAACGAAATCAGACCAATGATCAAAACATCACCACCACTAGCTCTTTGTCCTAACATGGGATATTTTGGCTAAGAGATGAATGCCTTAAGGAAGGGTGGTGCTGAGGTAGAGCCTGGAGACTTTGACACGCCTGGGCCTATACCTACACAGGAGGCAGTGTCTGCCTGCATGGGAGCCCCTACCTGCGCAGATCACACTAGCATCCTCGCGGTGGTGGCAGTTGTGCCTTGTCCAGCCAGCGTGGGTACAGCTCTCCAGAGAGTCCTCCCTGCCAGAGCAGCGTACTTCATTCATCAGGATGGGGCCTGTACCAGGCCCAAAGTGGCTTCTACCCGGGGCGCCTAGCGCTGGACCGCAGCCCAGGAGGCGGCACACAACCCGGGCATTCTTGATGTTCCAGCGGTCATCACATACGGTTCCCCACTCCCCCTCATGCCGCACCTCCAGCCGGCCCTCACAGCGGTTGCGCCCGCCTACCAGGCGCAGAGGCAGATCTGCGGAGCAAGAGAAGTCAGTTCAGATCAGGTTTCATAGTAGACACGACTTGGGTTGTCACTTGCAGTGAGAACCTTCTCTAAAGCCCCTATATCACCCTTAGCTCTCAAAGAATGGCCGTTAAGAGCGAGTCTACTCTCCCAAGCATCTACCATCTTTAAACAAAAATACAACGCTTAAAGCAAAACCAGGCAAAAGCTGATCCAACAAAAGCCACACCCCGCCCCAACCCCATACCCAAATCTTTGTAAATAATTGCTTTACATGGAGACATTGCCCTGATTCATCAAAGCACATCCCGTGAAAGTCCTACTATTCTCCAGAGGCAATGTCTTAACAACAGAACTGTCTTATGTGACTTAGCTGTCCTATCATTATACACAGATCTACCACCACAGAATTCTTCACTGGGGTCGTACACTGGAAATAACCTCGTGGCTGATCCACCGGGCAATGGGGAGATTTTGTCACGTGGACTGCTGCATATAAATACTTCAAAACATGTAATTTTGGATAAAAAAACGACAAAAAGCAAAACCTGCACAACCATGCTGCTTACCCATGATGATTCATCTTGAGAAATGTGCTGTTGGGAGACTTTGTTGTGGTACACACAAAAAGCTGGTTGTGGAGTCACTAGGGAACCATCTACAGAGCCATTGCTCCACATGAACTGTATAATACCCATTGTTGACTGAGCCATTCTTGTGGGAGACATGACTGTATCACACTGGAGGGTCTACACTCACAGACAGGTGCCAGGTGGTTTGTCTGGTAACAATTAGCATTGAGCTGTTTGGCCCCAAGAAAAGCCTTAGTGAGTGTTAAATCTGTAGTTCTGACTATGGCGTGATGGTCCAGGGCGGCTGCCCTCTGTTGGCCTCATTGATATCATAATGACGAAAGCATGATACTTGTGTAGCTATGGGAATGAGCTGAAGACACAGCTCAGTGGGAAGAGTAAGATTCTGGTTTCCATCAAGCACCAGGAAGACAAAAGTGTGACTCATGAATACACATGGGTATCTTCTGGGTGACGTCCTAGAGATGAATTACAAGTGTGAGTGACCCCATACTGTGTATATGTCGGCATGTAACATACCCACAGCGGCAGACGTGTAAGGTGCTGTAAGGGGTGAAAGGGAAACGTGATCCTAACTGTATCAATGGACACCTTATCATTTTGATGAGAAACAAAAACTATCAGAAAAGTGGGTAAACGCATCGTCAGTGTAAAACATTAGAGTTTTACAATGCGCTCCCTTACAGGTTCGATTTCAAGCCAGAGAGGAAATGCTCGTGATTATTGCAGGGTCAACTCCCTTGGCTTGAGTGTAGGAACGCATTTCTTTCTTGGCATCAAAATGTGACAAATATTATGTTTTGTTTATTCTCCAGGAATAAAACAAGTTTTTAGATGCTCAAAAAAAAAAAAGAACTTCGTATGCTTATTTTTTTTAAAGAAATTAAAACCATTCCTTTTTTTGTTTGTTTGTTGAGACATGGTCTCACTACTTAGCCCTGGCTAGGCCCTGGAACTTGTTCTATGTGGACTAGGCTGATTACGACTTACAGAAACTCATGTGCCTCTGCCTCCTGAGTGTTGGTGTTCCAAGATGTGTGCCACCACACCTGGCATTAGGCAACATTTTTATAAGGGCTGAGAATAAAGAGCAGGAAGTTGATCATCTTCCTCAGGTGTCGTTTTAAGTGAGATAGATGGAATACTACGTTAAACTATACAGAGGGAAGCCAGGTAGAAAATTTAGGAACAGCTGGAGAGATGAAATGTGGTAGCAACTCAGAGAACAGAGCTTTCTCCACAGCAACAAGCACAGCGATCATTACCAGGCAATGAAGTCACTTTTGTCAAAGCTGGAACTGTTGCTGAAAAAAAAAGTAGTGAAAAGAAGGGGTTAAAATGTGGCTTCACTGAGATTCTACATTAGACTGCAGGTCTACAATAGCAAACCTGTTCTGAAGCAGTGTGCACTTTCATATATGTTTCTGCATGTAGGCATGGCAGGGTGTGTGAGAAGCTGGTGTGTGGAACGCAGCTTAAGAACATTCTCATGCTACACAGCTATAGTGTGCAATATGATAATCTACACCCCCAATTTTTAAAAAAGATTTATTTTATTTATATGAGTACACTGTAGCTATCGTCAGACACACCATAAGAGGGCATCAGATCCCATTACAGATGGTTGTTAGCCTCCATGTGGTTGCTGGGAATTGAACTCAGGACCTCTGGAAGAGCATCCAGTGCTCTTAACTGCTGAGCCATCTCTCCAGCCCTACACCCACAATTCTTACAAAAACTAATCTGGGAAGGTTTTATTACTGCTTTAGGATTGAAAAAATGGAGATTCAGAGGAACTGTATAAAAGGACCAGGTTATTCACAGGTCAAACCTTCAAGCCCCAGGGCCATCCGTGTTCTTTCTAACTATTGTGCATTTTGGGAGCAAATGCTGTAGGAGTTACGTTTGTGCTGGGCTGAGGAGGGAACATTAGAAAAGAAAGAAGGTAAGGGTTAATGGTCTCTGTGCCATCTTTCCTTTCTGAAAAGCATTTTCTGTCAAAACGTGAAGTGATTTAGACTGCCATGTTTTCACAGAGGAAGTAGATGGCATGTGTGGCCCTAACTGTGTAAGATGGGGATTTTGCAACAACCCAGTCTGCAAACAAAAGCCTGTCACATGTGATGTCAAAAGCTATGTGAATAAAAAGTGAAGGACCTTCTGGCAAAAATGGAGTGAGCATAGAGAGAGAGGGGAATAGGTAAGTAAAGAAATAAAGGATGGCGGCAGGAAGAAAGAGGACTGGGGAGGGAGGAAACCATCTTAACTGCATCTGGAAAGGATGTATTAACCAGGTATAGTGGTTTGAATATGAATGACCCAGGGAGTGACACTATTAGGAGGTGTGGCCTTGTTGGAGTAGGTGTGGCCTTGTTGGAAGAAGTGTGTCACGGTGAGGGTGGACTTTGAGACCCTCCTCCTAGCTGCCTGAAAGCCAATCTTCTACTGTCTGCCTTTGGATGAAGATGTAGAACTCTCAGCTCCTCCAGTCTCACATCTTCCTGGATGCTGCCATGCTCCCACTTTGATGATAATAGACTGAACCTCTGAACCTGTAAGCCAGCCTCAATTAAATATTGTCCTTATAAGAGTTGCCTTGGTCATGGTATCTGTTCACAGCAGTAAAACCCTACCTAAGACACCAGATTTCATTGAGTTTCAAACATGGATATTTTCAAAGTAACTAGGACTTGAAATTCAATAACTAAATGAGTAGCAGAGGCTTGTTACTGAAGGCAGAAATGCCACCAGGATTGGAGAATTCCCCATAAACCCTGGGCACTGGGAGGATCTTGGATGAGAGTTTCTATATCTCATTTTGTCTTTCCCTGACTCTGTGATCTTAAGCAAATGCATTTCTTCTTCAAGATTCCTTTTCCTCCAAAAGTAAGAGATCGTTTCTACACTCTTGTCATATTGTTGTCCATGTGAAGAAAGCCCAAATATCGTCTCTGTGGAAAGGATGCAGGGTTTCTGTGTACATCAGGCTTATGTTATAGACAAAGTCCTGAACACAGAAGTTTCATTCCCGAACAGAAAGAGCAAAAGCTGAAGTTGTGTTTCAGTTAGGAAATGTGACAGACTGAAAAGATTACCAGAGATCTTCTCAGTTGTGTCTTGTGTAAACCAGAGAAAAGGCTGCTTTAAATGACTGTATTTGTATTGGTCTCTATTTGATGCCAAATGTGATCATTAAACGAGCTTATTTTATAAGTAGAATGCAACAAATGAAAACTCATTATACAAGTGTAAAGATTACAATAGGGACTCACCACTTGGAGAGGCCAGTTTTGCTGAGGTCGAAGAAATATCTGTAGACAAAGAGCAGAAGAGACATATCAGTTTCATTTGACAAAAGTAAGCAGAAAATCCCTGACTGTTTAACTTTTAAAAAATATGATAGCTTAGCAGCCATCTTCTCTGTTGCATCTGAAGGTGCATCTGTGTGTAAATTCAAAGGACAGGGTGCTTTAACTTTTACTGAATGACATTGAGGGCATGTCCACTATCTTTACTTTGGGGTCAATTTCATCACTAAGCAGGTTCACCTTCAAATTACACTTAATAAATAAGAAGTGCATTCCTTTAGTTTAAATAGCACAATAGAGACTTGCCATTTGGAGAGCTTGCTTCTGCTGAGGTTGAAGAAGTATCTATAGACAAAAAGAAGAGGCACAGCTAGGTCATTTGCCAAATAGGAAGGGAAATGCTCTCCTTGTATTTAAGAAATGAAGTTCTGGGTAGGCTGGGAAATTGGAAGCTGTGTTGTGTATGTATGAACACAATTAAGAGGAGAAGAACATGGTGTGCTATGACAGTGCTATGGACAACTCTCTGACCCAATATCCATTGTTAGCTTTATTTCCCAGAGAACATCTCCCACAAATTGCATGATAGAAGGCCAGGTTACTTGTGAATGGAGTGTGGACTGAAGCAGGGAACAAAGCTGCTCAGCCTGATGCTGGCACCTATCTGGAACACTGCCATTGATGCTGACCTCATGGCCAGTGAACTGTTCACAGAACCGGCACTGCAAAAGCCAGTGAAAATTCCAGAAGAGTCAGTCAACAGCAAAAAGCATCACCAATAAACAAAACTGAGTAGAAGAATGAATTTCACGGATCTACAAGTTGAAACAATAATACAGTCCCAAATACATAAAAAGAAAATTCACAAGTATAACTTTAACTTTCAATAGATCAAACCTAAGAATACATGGGATAAGAGAAGGAGTCCCAGGGACTGTACTCATTAGCACAGGGTCAATGCAGGCCCTACGCTGTTGGTCAACTCCTCCCACAGCCCGCATGACACAGTTGAGGACACCTCTTCCATCTTCACTCCCACCATGGAAACTTAAATTTGAAGATGAAGAAAAAAGGGCCTGTGGACCTGAAGAAGAGGAGCCACCAGCATCTGAGGAACCAGCTGTTAGAGCACTTGTCTTAGCTAACTGAAAATCAAATATTGGGAAACCTGAGAGGTCAGCAGCAGAATTTGTGAACTTAGAGTTCGTAATTTTAATCAGTGTAGACGAGATGTTATGTTCAAGTCTCCTCATGATACTAAGATAAAAAAGTTTGAGTTCGTAGACACAGACTATCTGGAGTGTGGATGTACCAAGAAAGGTACTTTTAAATCCCGTGCACATAGGTCTAAGTGGAAAAACATGGAAAGATGTCAGCACCGTGGGACCTTTGAAAACCTTGGATAATATAAAAGATTTGGATCTGTTGACTGGGATGACACTGACCTAGATGTTTACCAAGAGAACTTCCTCAAGCGCCTGCCCCAGCTGATTGTCACCAAGAGAAACAGGAAGCCCCTGATTCAGACATAGAGGTTGATGCTATGACAAAAAAGACAGAGGAAGAAGACGGAGATAGAGAGGACAAGAGTAGAGAGGAAGAAGAATTTGATGAAGACATGGAAGGAGAAGATGACCAAAATGAAGTCATTGGTGAAGAAGAATAATTTGGACATGATGGAGATGCTTATGAAGATGAGGAAGAGAGCAGGAGAAGTGGAGGGAATGAGGGAGGAAGGGAGGGAGGGAGAGAGGGAGGGAGGGAGGGAGGGAGGGAGGGAGGGAGGGAGGGAGGGAGGGAAGGAGAGAGAGAGTAACATGATGAAGGAGAAGATTATTAATACCCCAAACAACAGAACCATTCAGTATTGGTGGCATTGTTTGTAGCTTTGGTAGCTGTTTACAAAAGGGTAACTGTGAAATGACATCCAGGAGACCCACCCGCTCAGAGTCAGGAGTGGCTCCTGTGACAGTCTGCCTTCTTCCACTTTGTCTCCCATTGGTAGTGGTAATCACCATTACCAGTCTTGGAACTTTGCTCCAGCAAGATGGTTAAGGCTGTTAATTTTTCATGTAAGTCTCTTGCTGACATGTGGAGAGCTATGACTGGTGAGTGACCTGTGGCTCCCATAAGGTTGTAACAACACTTTGATTTTCCATACAATGAGAAAAGGCTTGCTAAACAAGATCATAACTTTTGGGGTCAGAAAATAATATATAACATGGAGGAAAAGCCTGGCCAATACGTTGAGTATCTACAGAAGAATGAAATCAGATTTGTATGTCTCACTCACAAGGTAGGAAAATTCCATTTAAAGATACAGAACCAGGCGAAACCATTCTGGATAGACTCCGTTAGCAGAGTATATAAATTAAATAATTGAAAAAACTGTGACTGCATGAAAAAAAGCTTCATTTAAAAGCTTCTGCACAGCAAAAGAAACCATCAACAGAGAAAACACACAGCCTACAAAGTGGGAGGAAATCTATTCCAGCTATGATTCAGACAGGTGGTTATTATCTGGAATACATAAGATCGGCAAAAATTAAATCCCTAAACCCTAAATTTGTCACTCAATATCTGGACTGATGAAGGGGATAGAAAATTTACAAAGGAAAGAAACATAAATGTTCAACATTTTTGAAGCTGTTCAACATTCTTAGCCCATCAGGAAAATGCAGGGTAAGATGACTTCTGGGGCTGGAGAGGTGGGTCAGTGGTTAGAACAAGTACTGCTCCTGCAGAAGACTCAAGCTCAGATTCAGGCACTCACATCAGGAGGATAACTGTTTGTGCCTCACTCCAGGTGATCTAACATCCTCTTCTGGGCTCAGGGAGCACCTGCATTCACATCTGCACATACTTACACACAGACTCATACACGCATTTAAAAAAGTAGACTACTTCCCTCTTAACCCAGTCAGAGTGGCTGCCACTAAGAAATTAACTGAGCAGATGGTAATGACGACGTGGGGGAGTTCCCTTATTCACTGCTGGTGGAAGTGCAAACAGGCAGAGTCACTATGAAGATCATGTGTCTGTTTCTCACAAAACTAAATTAGAAGTACCATTTGACCCAGCCGCCAGTGTGAGCGTATACCCAAAGAATCCAAGTCCTACCACGGAGACACTGGCATAATGATGTTTACTGCTACCATATTCACAGTAGCTAGATGTTCATCACCAGATGGATGGATAATGAAAATTACACACACACACACACACACAGACACACTGGAGGTTTATTCAGCTGTTAAGGAAAACTAAATTATAAACTCTACAAGAATATTGATGCAACTGAAAATTATTATATTATGTGAAGTAAACAAAATCAGAAAGAAAAATAGCATATTCTCTCTCTCATATGCAGATCCTAATTACACACATGTGTGTATGTGTGTGTGTGTGAGAGAGAGAGAGAGAGAGAGAGAGAGAGAGAGAGAGAGAGAGAGGTTTTAAGAAAGGAAAGGTAATAGAACACATGTAACAAAATTTCCTGGAAATGGAATGTTACAAATATGCAGTGTGTGTGTGTGTGTGTGTGTGTGTGTGTATGTGTGTGTCAGAGAGAGAGAGAGAGAGAGAGAGAGAGAGAACAAAGTGTATATAAAATGATTCACTGTTTGCTCATTTTTTTTAAAAAAAGCAACTAAAATGAATTATGGTTGAAAAAGAAAAGAGGAAGAAAGAAAGAAAGAAAGAAAGAAAGAAAGAAAGAAAGAAAGAAAGAAAGAAAGAAAGGAAGGAAGAAAGAGAGAAAGAAAGAAAGGAATGTAACAGAAAACATTACCAGAGGAGCTGGACTCTTCTGCTGAGGTTGAAGATGTATCTGTGTAGAAACCCAGAGAAGTGACACTTTAAAAATCTTTCACTGATCTGTATTTGATGCCAAAATGATCAGTAAACAGGCTCCTTTTCTAAGTGTGACATGACACATGAGAAGCTCAACTCAGTATATTAAGCATCAGAACAGGGGACTTACCACTTGTAGAACTTGATTCTGCTGAGGTTGAAGACATATCTAGAGACGGAAAGGGGACACACAATTGTGTGCATTTGCCACTTAGAGGAAAGGCTGAAATTGTGTTTAACTTGAGAAATGTGATAGAAAGTATTACCTGAGGAGGTCTCTTCTCCTGAAGAGGTTGAAGATGCATCTGTGTAAAAACACAGAAAACAGGATGCTAAGAATCTTAATTAAACTGATTAGCTCATAAATTAAAGACATGAAATTAGAAGAGGGCCTAGCTGGGCAGAGGAACAGAGTTAGTAAGGGTGTGAGGGCATAGAGGAGGTGAAGGAGGTGACTATAATCAAAACACACTACACACAGTGTAAAATGGTCACAAGACTCATTATTAGGTATAGCTAACATATGCTAAGACAAAAAGCACTTATCATTAGTTAAAACAACACCATGAGGACTTTACCACTTGGCTCTCCACTCTTCCCTTCTGTTGATGTTGAAGACATATCTATGAGCGCAGAAAAGAAGAAATGAATGGAGGATCACTTTCCAAACAGACAGTTGATAAACTAGGATTGTGTCTCACTTAAGAAATGTAATGGGTTGGAAAGATCACCAGAGAAGATGCTCTCTGCGGTGATGCAGAATGGATCTGGTGTGACCCCAGAGAACAGGATGCTTTGAAATGAGTAGAGTGATACTCTAAATAGTTCTCACTCACTTTACTTTGTGATGAATGTGGTTATTTAAATAAGTTTATTGTCTGAATATATAAAATACAAAAAAAATAAGGAATTTGCTTCATTTGTTAAGCAGAACAATAGAGGGCTTTACCATTTGGAGAACTTGCTTCTGCTGAGGTTGAAGAACTATCTGTAGACAAAGAGAAATATATATTTAGATAGTTTGCAAAATAGGAAAGGAAAGGGCTGTTGTTGTTGTTTTTTTAACAACATGTTAAATACATGACAGGCAGAAAACATTACCAGAGGAGCTATCTTGTGCAGAGATTGAAGACGCACCTGTGGATAAAATCAGAAAATAGGGAGCTGTAAAATTAGCATCATGGGCTGAGTGCATGACTCAGTAAGTAAAATACCTGTGTTGAAAACTTGTGAATCCGGGATCCATTCCCAGAACCCATATAAAAATGCCTAGAGTTGTGTATACTTGTGATCCCAGCACTGGAAAGCAGAGACAAAAGAAACTCCATGCCTGTAGCCAGTCACTGTAGCCTACTTAGTGAGCTCCAGGCCAATGAGAGACCCTGTCTCAAAGGGGTGGATGATACTACTGAGGTTGATGCTCAAAGTTGTTTTCCACCGTCGACATACACATTCATTCACACAGGTGCCAGAATGCCTGAGCAGGCATGCACTATCACACAGGAACATGTACATGCACATGCACACACACACACACGCATTGGATATTTTTGCATTTTTAATCTTTTGACGAGGTTATCATTAGCTAGAGTTATTCTTTAAGCATGACAAATTAGCTGAATATGTAAGCAACACAAAGAGGAAGTCTACCAGGTGGAGAGCTTGCTTCTGTTGAATTTGAAGAAACAGCAATAAATCCACAGGGGAAGGGGCATACTTAGACTGTTTTTCTAAAGAGGAAACGCTATGATTGTATTTAAATTAAAAGAAGTGACGGGTTGAAAACATTACCTGAAGAGGTCTTCTCTGCTGAGTCTGAAGATGCATCTGTGTGCAATCCAGAGAACAGAATGATTTACAAGATGAACGTCTTTTTGCTGATCTTTGCATTGCAGTCAATATGACTTAAGTAGATTAATTTTTTAAATACAACATGACAAATAGGAAAACCATTTCTGTTGCTGAAGACAGCACACAATCTGCTGGCAGGGCATGCAGAAATGAAACTGGAACTAAGCTGGAAGCTTTGTCCCCACTGGCTAGCTCTCATCGTGTTGGAAGATATGATACAGATTCCTGGGAAAGAATTGTTATCAGCAACACTTTTCAGCTGTGAGCCTTGCAGACTACAGTACTGACCATTCAGGCCATATATGCCCACTGGTGTAAGAGTGCCATGACTGTTGGAGGTGTGACCTACTCTTTTTCTGACTGAATGTGAGGCTACTCCATAGAAGTTTTATACTGAAACTGGATCCAATGTTCTTGGTACCAGAGGTGATAGAGTGTAGCAGCAAAGCTATGTCTGTTGTTTTACTAAATGGGTGTGACACGGCTGTCAAATTGACATTTAAGTCATTGTGCTTTGAGTAGTGCTGGGTTTAGCTTTGGTCACAGAAGCTTCTTTTTGCAGTGGGTGATATTTACTCTACAGACTCATAACTGACCAAAATGATGATAAATAGCTTGTGTACTCAGCCTTAAATGGAGTGCCTCTGTGTTCTAAGACTAGGGAATATCATGTACTAGAAAGTAGGTTTATCATGAATTCCATTTAAGGTTTGGTTAGCTCTAATGACTTGTACTTTATTATAAAGAACATATTAAAACTTTAAAAATAAATCAAGTGTAAAAGCTGGAGGAAGGGATGGATATGGAGCGGTACAATTGCATTTGTGGCCTCTCTGCCACTGTAATAACCGGCACACAACTTCTCCAAGGTTGAGCCTATAATCATTGTCATGGAAGTTTGGGAGAAACTCATGAAACCGGCCATTCCTTAAGGGTGTATACAATAACTGATTGCAATGGGGGGGAGGGGAGACATTTATTTTGTGGCATAGCCACTGCTAAGTTGCCGGTGCTTTCTGAAATAACCCCTCAACTATGCTGCTCCAGTAACCCAAAGCAACTCGCTGGTTCATAAAATGGAAAGCACCACAGTAGGAGGTAGGAGAGGACATCACTGGGAAGAGGGGCAGAGTTAGAAGTAGTGTGAGGAGGACCAGAGAGAGCATGGGGGTTGTGAACATCATCAAAATATGCTATGTACATTATGAACATTTCATAATGAAATTCACTATTCTGTATAATTAAATTTTTTTTTTAAAAAAAGAAGGGCTGGAGAGATCGCTCCATGGTTAAGACTGCTTGCTGTTCTTTCAGGGGACTCATGTTCACTTTCTAGCACCCACATTGGTGGCTTACAGCTGTCTGTAACTCCAGCTCTAGTTGGATCCAAAGTCTCTGGTTACCTTGGGCACTCACACTCATGTGTATAGCACACATACATGTGTAAACATAACACATATAACTAAGATTTTAAAAAGCATTTCATTGTTTAAATAACACAGTGAAAGACTTTACCACTTGGCTCTCCACTCTTCCCTTCTGCTGAGGTTGAAGACATGTCTATGAGCACAAAGAAGAAGAAATGGATGTGTGACCACTTTCCAAACAAAACCCAGAAAGACTATGATTGTGTTTCACTTAAGAAATGTAATGGGTTGAAAAGATCACCAGAGGAGATGCTCTCTGTGGTGATGCGGGATGGATCTGGGAGATCCCAGAGAACAGGATGCTTTGAAATGAGTAGAGTGATATTGGGGATAGTTTTCATTCACTTTACTTTGTGTTGAATGTGGATATCAAGTAAGTTTACTGTCTAAAAATACCACAGCAAATAAGAATTTCTTCACTAGTTAAGAAGCACAATAAAGGGCTTTACCGTTTGGAGAGCTTGCTTCTGGTGAGGCTGAAGAAACACCTATAGACAAAGAAAGAAGAGACATGGCCAGGTCATTTGCCAAATAGGAAGAGTAGAATTCTTCATTGTGTTTAGGAAATATGACAGGCAGAAAAATTACAGAGGTAGGATCTGCTGATGAAGATGCAACTATGTATAAACCCAGAAAATATTATGCCTTAAAATTAGTATCTTCAACTGGGAGGATGGCTCGGTTGGTAAAGTGCTTACCTTACAAATATGTGAACCCGAGATCAATTTGTAGAATCCATATAAAAATGTGGGAAGTGGGCCACCCACCCATCTCCAAAATTTTAACTCAGAATTTATCCTGTCTAAAGGAAATACAGGGATAAAGAATAGAGCAGAGACTGAAGGAAAGACCATCTAGAGACTGCCCCACCTGGGGATCCATCCCACATGTAGACACCTGACATTATTGTGGATGCCAAGAAGTGCTTGCTGACAGGAGCCTGATATAGCTGTCTCTTGAGAGGCTCTGCCAGATAGTGACCAAAATAGATGTGGATGCTCACAGCCAACCATTGGACTGAGTACAGGGACCTCAATGGAGGAGTTAGGGGAAGGACTGAAGGAGCTGAAGGGTCTTATCTGGCATCAGTGGGAGGGGAGGTCCTTGGTCCTGTGAAGGCTTGATTGACACCCACCCCCAGTATAGAGGAATGCTATGGCGGTGAGGTGGGAGTGGGTAGGTGGGTGGGGGAGCACCCTGATAGAAGCAGGGTAAGGGGGGATGAGATAGGGAGCTTTCAGAGGGGAAACCAGGAAATGGGGCAACATTTGAAAATGTAAATAAATAAAATATCAATTAAAAAATGTGGAAAGTGGTTATGTGCACTATATTCCCAGCACTGGGGAGACAGGTCAAGGAGGATCCTTATAGCTCTGTGTTCAGTTACTCTATACTAATCAGTGAGCTCTGGGCCAGTGAAAGACTCTACCTCAAAGGAAGTGGACAAACACTCCTGGGAATGACATCTGAGGTTATCCTCTAAGCTCATACACACATGAAGAAAGGTGCTCACACTTTTCACACAAACACAATACCCACAAGTATGTGGAAGATGAGTTTCTTATCATTGGGCTTTATTTTATGGTCAATGTAATTATTAAATAGGCTCATGGTCTAAATTACAACATGATTGATAAGCAATTAATTTCATTTAGCTAAACAGAATATTAGGGACATTACCAGTTGGAGAACCTGATTCTGCTGAGGATGAAGAAATGTCTATAAACAAAGAGAAATATATATATATTTAGATAATTTGTCAAACAGGAAGAGAAAAGCCTGTTATTTGTCTAACTTAAAAACACAACAGGCAGAAAGCATTACCAGAGGAAGTATCTTCTGAAGAGCCTGAAGATGCATCTGTGTATAGAGCCAGAGAACAAGGATTTATAAAATTAGCATCATGGGATGAGAACATGGCTCAGTAGGTAAAGTACTTGCCTTGAAAACTTTTAAATCTGAGATCCATTCTCAGAACCCATGTGAAAATGCCTGGAGTTGTGTGTGCTTGTGACCCCAGCACTGGGAAAGCAGAGACAAGAGGAGCCCTGTGCCCATGGCCAGCAACTCTAGCTCATTGGTGAGCTCCAGGCCAATGAGAGGCCCTCCTTCACATATGTGTATACATAGGCACAAGAGCACCTGAACAACACATGAGCATGTGTGTGTGTGTGTGTGTGTGTGTGTGTGTGTGTGTGTGTGTGTATGCATGAATCATCACAATAGGGGACCAATCAGTTGAAGATCTTACGTTTGCTGAAGAAATAGCTATAGATAAAGAGAGGAGGAGATATACCTGGATTCCTTTACCAAACAGAAAGAGGAAAAGCTCTGACTGTGTTTAATAAATTTGACAGTCAAAACACATTACCAGAGGAGGTATCCACTGAAGCTGAAGATGCATCTGTGTATAAACCCAGAAAACAAGATGCTTTAAAATGGGTGGCTTTCACTGATATTTATTTTGTGGTCAATGTGACTTTTAAGTAGGTGCACCTTCTAAATACAGCATGCCAAATAAGAAAACCATCTCTGTTGCTGAAGACAGCACTCAATCTGCTGGCAGGACATGCAGAGATGAAGCTGGAACTGAGCTGGAAGCTTTCTCCCCACTGGCTAGCTTTCATAGTGTTGGAAGGTACTATGCAGATTCCTGAGAAAGAACTGTCATCAGCAACACATGTCAGCTGTGAGCCCTGCAGGCTACAATACTGACCTTGCAGGCCAGAGAAGCCCACTGGCATTAAGAGTGACATAACTGTAAGTGACCAACTCCTTTCCAGGTACAGTCAAACTTATCCCCATAGGAGAGAATTTATGTCTGGCACTGAAAACCTGACCTGGAGATATGAAATGTCTTAGTGGGGAAGATACTTCTGCTGTATTGCTAAGTGAATGTGGTGTGCCTGTCAATTTTCTTTGAAATGTTTATATTTATGTCCATAGATTAGTACAGCTGTCAGCTTTGATCATAAAAGCTCTTCCTTGCAGTGGTTGATGGCTACTGAAGAGACTCATAACTAGTCAAAGTTATCATAGTAAGTCACCATCTGGATCACCCCTTCTAAGTGTCAGGAAGTATCATGATGAGAGGTTGGTGAGGAAAGCATATGAAGGTGGGGGAAAGGTGGAGCATGGTGGATATGGTCCATGGACTCTTGAACTCTCGGCAGCTGTGATTATCTGAACAAGACAAGCAAAGAGCAGGCTCATCATCATTCCATCACAGAGAAGGGAGGAGCTCATGAGACCTCACCCCTCCCTGAGGATCTATAGAGAGTGAATGGTGGCTGGGAGAAAGAGTTCAGTGGTGTAGCCCTGGTAAGTTGCCAACAGTCTTGCAAATAACTCCCTACTGGGGAACTCTTAATAACTTAATTAAACTGATCACTTCATGAAATAAAGATATGAAAATAGAAGATGGCCAAGCTGGGAATAGAAAAAAATTAGTGTGAGGGACCAGGAGAGCATGAGGAGGGTTAGTACAGTAGACATGGGTATGAAAATGGCATAATTAAACCTTTCATGTATAATTAATGCATGATAATAAAATCCCTCAAAGATAAACCCCACATTTCATTAGTTAAAATACAACACTGTGAAGAACCTTACCAATTGGTTCTCCACTCTTCCCGTCTGCTGAGGTTGAAGACATATCTATAACAAAGAGAAGAAGATTTGACCATGCAACCACTTTCCAAACAGAAAGAAAAAAATCTGTCTGGTCATTTGGTAAAAAATTTGATAGTTAAACAAACAAAACCCAAAAACAATTACCAGCGGAGATCTCTTCCACTGAGGCCGAAGATGCATCTGTGTGTAAGCCCAGAGAACAGGATGCTCTAGCATGGGTATGACAATACTTGGGGTGTTCTCACTATCTTTACCATGTGGTCAGAGAACCACTAGGAAGTTCACTGTCTAATACAGCATGACAAATAAGAAACTTATCTTATTGGTTAAGCAACACAATGTGGGCCTTTACCATTTGAAGAACTTGTGTCTGCTGAGGGTGAGGAAATGTCTATAGACAAAGATAAAAAGAGGCACATCCAGATCATTTACCAATTAGAAGGAAGAAAGGCTCTCATTGCATGTAAATTAATGGAGAAAATATTACCAGAGGAAGTCACTTCCGCTGATGAAGAGACACCTGTGTATAAATCCAGAAAAAAGATGGGATGCTTCAAAATTAGTGTCTTGGGCTGGAAGAATGGCCCAGCTGATGAAGCTGAGCTTTTTTCCCAGAAGTTATGTAAAAGATGCTGGGAGTGCTGCTGTGTGCTTGTAATCTCAGCACTGGGGAGACAGAGACGTGAGGATCTGCGTGGCTTACTGCCCAGTCCTTCTAGCCTAATTAGTGAGCTCCAAGCTAATGAAAGGCCTGTCCCAAAGAAAGTGGGTGATATTCCTTTTCCTGTCTCCCTGTACAATAGCACCTATGCATACACATGCACCTTCACATGTGAACACACATGCATCTATTCAGAAGAAATGATTGTCTTTCATTGATCTTTGCTTTGAAGTCAACACGCACCATAAGTAGGCTCATTTTTTTAAATACAACACTACGAATCAGAATATCTCATTAGTTAAATGGCACCATAGGAGACTTTACCAGCAGAAGAAGTCATTTTTTCTGAACTTGAAGACATGAATATGAATGAAAAGTAGAAGAAACATATCAGGGGTCAGTTGCCAAATAGAAAGAAGAAAATCTCTGATTGTGTTAAAGAAATGTGATAGCCAAAAAAACATTACCTGAAGATGTTTCCTCTTCTTTCGAGGCTGAAGATGAATCTATGTATAAACCCAGAGACAGGATGCTTTGAAATGAGTCTTTTCCTTGATCCTTGCATTGTAAGCAGTATGATCATTAACCAGATTAACTTTCTAAATATGACATGACAAATATGGAATCCATCTCTATTGCTGGAGACACCAGAGCTTGCTGGGTCTACAGAAATCAGGGCAGAACAGACCTATAAACTTTCTTCTTGCTAGCTAGCTGTCACTGTGTTGGATGATATTATTTATGCTGTTGGGGAAGCCCTGCCACCAACAGTCTTCCTGAATTCTGCATGTTGTACTATTGATTTGCCAGGTAAGATGCACCGATTGGTGTATGAACAACATGGCCGTTGTAGGTGTAAGCAACTCTTTTCTGCTTGGATTTGAGAATACCCTCTAGGAGTTTGGAACTGTAAGCCTGGTCAAAAGCCCGTGAAATAGGAGGTGATAGGTCTAGTGGGAAAGGTACTGCTGCTATTTTGCTAAATGGAATTTATATGGCTGTCAAGTTGACATCTAAATTATTATGTTTATGCCTGTAGATTGGTGCTGGTTCCTGCTTTGGTCAGAAAAGCTTCTTTTTGCTGTGGGTAATTGTTACTGCAGAGACTTATAAATGTTCAAAATGTTAACAACTGACTTAAAGGTTCAGCCCTAAGTGGGAAGATGTCATCCCCTCCAAGCTCAAGGAGCATTGCTGAAGAGGAGTTGGGTTGATTGTTTCATATAAGTTTGTGGTTAGCTATAACAACTCATCCTGCACCTGAAGAAAAGATACAAAACTTCAAAACCAAAGCAGAACCTAAGTTCTACATGAAGGGTTATAATGATTTGGCGTGCCATCTTCTGGGCACGGTGTGCCTATGACTCTCTCGAAACTTCAGACTACCTGCGCCAAACATGGACAAGACTGAGCCCACTATTATTCTGTCATGGAGAGGGGCACTTATGAAGCCCTTTCCCTTTCTAAGAGGTTATAGACAGTAAATGTTGGCTAGGGAGGGAGAGACATTTTCTTTAGTGGTTTGGCCACTGCTCTTGCAAATAGCTCCCCCACCTCGCTCCTCTAAGTAGCCCAATTTATGCTCATTGGTATACACACACACACACACACACACACACCACATGGAAGTAGAAGAGGGAGATGAGCAGGAGTGGGAGGGTACAAGAGAGGGTAGTGGCATAAATCTGATAAAAAATACAGTATGCACAAATGTATGAAATGTCAAAACAAAGCCCATTATCATGTATAATTTAAACATGCTAATAAACATGAAAAATGAACATCAATGAATTAAAATGAAATAAAATTTTAAAATGAACACGTCTCTGTAGTTAAGCAACACCATGAGGGACTTTGCCAGTTGGAGAGGTTGCCTCTGCTGACACTGAAGTGGTATCAATAAACAAATACAAGAAGAAACTTACTTATAACCACCCCCCGAAACAGAAAGATTAAAAGCACTGAGTGTATTTAACTTCAGAAATACAAGCTGGAAATGTTACCAGAGGACGTCTCCTCTTCTCCTGAGACTGAAGATGCATCTGTGTAGAAACCCAGAGAACAGGATGCTTTAAAATGAGCAGAACAATGTTGGTTGTGTCTTCTCATTGGCCTTTACTTTGTGGCCAGTATCATTAAGTATGGTCACTTTCTAAATACAACGTGACCAATAAGAAACAACACCACAGGGACTTTACCATTTGGAGGGCTTGATTCTGTTGAGGTTGAAGATATGCCTATAGACAAAGAGAAAGATGCATTCTTGGTTCATTTGCTTATTAGAACGGGGAAAATGTTTTACAGGAAGATAAACAAAAAGGCATGGCAATCAGAAAGCATTACCAGAGGAGGTCTCCGCTTTTGTGGAGGTTAGAGACACATCTGTAAGCAAAACCAGAGCAGGAGTTGTTATCCAAGTGTTTGGGCTGGGAAAATGACTCCCAGGCATGAGAACCTGAGTTTGATCCCCAGAGCCCACATAAAATCCCAGGCCTGGTGGTATGCGCGTTTAATTCTGACACTGGGAAGATAAAGATGGGAGGATCTAGGCTCGTGACCAGCTGGGGTAGTCTAACTGGTGAACTCTAGGTCAAGGAGAGATCTTGTTTGTAAGGAAGTGGTCGGCATGTCTGAGGAAGACATCTGAGATTGTTCTGTGGTCTATACACATGTGCACATGTACATGTACACATATGTACTATACACATGAACACATTTAGGCATTTGCATACACATAAATAATACACATATGCTTGCATGCATACACATATGAAACAAGTGTCCTCTCACTGATATTTATATTGTGGTTAAAATGATCATTGAACAAGTTAAATTCTCTTTTTAATACAACACAATAAGTGAACAATCCATCTCGCTAGATTAAACAACACAGTGGAGACTGGATGCCCTATTGATGGTGAAAGAATGTCAAGGCGACTCAGCAACATAAATGGCTATTTATCTAAGCAAGTGTCCCAGAACCAAAAAAGAGCATTTAAATTACCCATTGGAGTGGTTATAGGTGGAGTATGTAGATATGTATGGGGGTGTTGTGTGTGTGTATGGTATGTGTTGTGTTTTTTGTATGTGTGTGTGGTATGTGTTGTGATTTCTCTCTCTGTGTGTATGTATGCATGTATGTGTATGTATATGTGTGTACATTATGTGGGATATGTGCATGTGTATGTGGTGTGTGTGTGATATGTGGTGTGTGTGTGTATGTGTGTATGTTATGTGTGTGTGGGGTGTGTGTGTGTGTGTGGTATGTGGTGTATGAGTGTGTGTCTATATGTTATGTGGGGTGTGTGTGTATGTGGTATGTGTGGTGTGTGTGTATGTGTGTGTGTATGTGTGTGTGTATGTGTGTGTATGTGTGTGTGTATGTGTGTGTGTGTGTGTGTGTGTTTGTGTGTGTATGTATGTGTATGTGGTCATAAACTCTGACCTGGCTAAGGAACTGCCTCCTTTCCATTAACCCCATCTCCCCCCACCTTGTTCCTGGTGATGGGTCTGGTTTGATGAGACATTCTGCTCAAAGACAGTGACAACCACTCTCAAGCCTGTCCTCATTTTAGCCCCAGTATCATGGCAACCACCCAGCTGTCTTTCTTACCTGTGCAGTGTGGTGGGCAGAGGTCTTTATCAGGTAAAGGAGTTACTTCTACCGGAGTTCGGGTGATGCCTGATACGAAATACAAAGGGACATCAGTCAACTGATGGAAAGTCTTCACTTTTTTTCTGGTTACACTCAATCCTACCATTATTGCCGTCTGCCTTTGTTGTTGGGGAAACTGATATGCATTTCCCCATGTCTTTCTGCGTAAGTAAAAAAGCACATACTGTGATACTGCAAGCTAAATCTTTCCTGAGATGAAACCGGCTACTTGCATAATCCAGACTCATTGGGAAGAATATCACTCTCTTTGTATTGTGATATAGTACAATATATCATACAAGATATAGTGAGGTATCACAAAAGACAGCAGAGTAAGTGGACATGTTTGATCCACGTCACTGTTGTAGCATCTACTGCCATCCCTGCCATTGCCAGTACGGGGCTAGCCCTACCTCTCCATATACCCCATCATTCACCTATGCTTTTCCTAATGTTCAGTCAGTAGGAAAGTCATATTGCCAAGTGCTAAGAGCATACAAGAAGCAACAACACACTGGCAGGCTGTGAGGGAGGCTTTGTGGAATGCCCCACCATGAATGTAAGCACTTGGACTTGAGCTTGAACTTGGGGTCTTGACTTGGCTTCATAGAGGCTCTCTTGGTATACTTCTGGGATTTTGTCTATTTCTGCTAAGTGACTCTCAGAGAACCAGGAGTAAAACTATGCTCTCCTGGCAGACTTTCAACATCATTTTATTCCTGATAGGAAGTGAGTAGAAAAATGAGCAGAATACTTACCAGTTGTAATGACCGAAACTATGGCTGGGTTTGAGGTAGGAGCTGTTGAACCAGCAGGGTAAAGAAATCAAAATTAAATGTCATTCTTCTCAATCAAGTATATTGAATGTGTCCTAATATATTTGATTCTGTTAAACAGTTTCCATTGGATTTCTTCATTTTTTGTCTCATAAAGTTAAAGGGAGTTAGTGGTGGCAAGGAAGTGCATGGGGCTGGATCCAAGAGACTTGGCCCCCAGTGTCTGTGTAACAGAGTGTGTGACCCTGGGTGAGACCTGAATCTCTGCAATTCAGCTACTGCATAGGAAGGTCTGCCCAGTGGTTTTGCAGTGTCTGTGCCCTGCTTTTAGAAATCCAGACTCCTAGGGCTAGAGAGCACTTACTGATCTTGAAGCTGACCAGCCCTCTGTGGTGGCTCACAAACACCCATAACTCCATTTCTGGGAAATCTGAGGCTCTCTTCTGACTTCTGCCAGCAGCAGACACACTCATAGTGCACATACACGCATGAGAGTGAAACATTCACACACATAAAAATAAAACAAAAAGAAGAAAAAGAAATGCAGACTTGTGTATGCAAATCTGCATTTAAACAGAATCCCAAGTGAGTTGTATGCTCAATAAACTCCTGAGAGACACTGAAATGGAGATGCCTACAGATCTGAACACACATGGTAGGGTCAGGATGAAATGGGAAAGCCTTTGCCTATATGAAGGGCAGCTCTCTCTGTTCAGCCTCAGCCAATTGCTTTCCCAATGAAATTCACATAGCCATTGGGCTTGTTAAGAGTATTCTTCTGGCCCAAGCTAGACATTTTGGACTAGGGGTATAGCTTGGAAGTAACTAATTTGTATGAAGACTTGCGTTTGACCCCTGGCACAAGGGAGAAAAATAGCTGGATGTGTGGATTCTTATATAAGACCCTCTGCTTTTAAAACCTGGGGCTAACAAAAAGATAACCTATGTCATTTGTAGGAAATGGATGCAACTGGAAAGATGCCAGTCTCAAGACAACAGATGACATCATGCTTTCTTTCATTTATGGCTCATGGTTTTTCATTTAGATACATAAGGTCATGTTGATCATATGGTATGAAAGGAGAAGCAAAGCTGTCCAGAGGATCCAAGGGACTGGTGGGAGTAAGAAAAGGCAGGGGAGATGGCATGAGAGGGGCCGAGCTTTCGTGCAATGTATACATGTGTGGAAGGGTTTTTACGTAAGACAGTATCGCCTACCATGAAGATATGTGAGAACTAGACACGAAAAGGAGAAAACTGTGGAGCAAAAGATCATTTTGACACTCATAGGCAAACCTTGGTGATCTGAATTTCAATTCTTTTTTTTTAAATTTATTTATTATATAAGTACACTGTAGCTGTCTTCAGACACCCATATGAGGGCATCGGACCTCATTACAGAGGGTTGTGAGCCACCATGTGGTTGCTGGGATTTGAACTCATGACCTCTGAAAGAGCAGTCAGTGCTCTTAACCGCTGAGCCATCTCTCCAGCCACCTGAATTTCAATTCTTAAGTGGGTCAGAGGGCTCATGGGCTCCCCATTCGGAGTCTTTGGTCTCTGCGGTCTCTGAAGTTTCTTTCAGCACTTGTTAAATGCTTAGCTGCAATGGTGTCATAATTAATCTGTCCCAGCTTGAGACACTTGGGCACATCCCACAGGTTCAACACAAAAGAAGGAACTGTTTTCAGTGTTTGATTTACTTTCAAGGTTAATTTTTACTAAACCTGGAAGATGGCTTTGTTTGCAATTGCAGAAATATGGATGGCATACCGTGTTTGTAACTGTTTATGGTTCAGAGAGAACTTGGGTGGTTCCCTACATATCTCCAACCTATTTAAGTGTATGCTCATCAACACAAGCTCTAGAATGAGCTCCAACTTGTCACATGGGAGGAGATTTACAAGAGGGTACAGAGTGAGGAGGACTTACAGTTGAGAACCAATAGACTCAGCACATAGCAGTGCACACATCCATGAAGAGTTCCTATCACTGTGCCCTGAACTGTGTAGATCACTCAGTCTCAGGAATAGCTCTGAGGTCTTTATCTTTCTGTTCTCTGTGGATCATTAGCCAGTGTCTAACACTAGGCCAGAGCATAACCCCGGGTCCTCTGGCCCTGGGTCCCAGAGTACAGCATGGTTACTCTATGGCTATTCAAGTGCTTTCCTTTCAGTGAGAGAGAGCTGAGCAAGAATGTGTTTAATCAAAAATTCAAAAGCTCCGTTACTATAGGACTTTCCACAAAACTTAACATATTGATAGACTGTATTCACATGAGGAATGTGGTATTTTCCCCAGCACATCCAGCGATGCCATTTCTTCCTGCTTATTTCCATCTCACTGAATCGGTGTCTGGTCCTGTGAACACACTGGAAGCGTGTGTCTCTACATTGTGTTATGGAAATGTGGACTAGCGTTTTGTCTGAGATGTCTGACATCTTACGAAGATTACTAAAGAATGAAGACAGGTTGAAGACCCTAGGTATCAACCACAATGAAGATGGGAGGGAAGCTACACCAGGATAGCTTAATCTCAGACACCAGATATGATGTCAGAAAGGAACGGAACAGGAGGCACAGAGATGGCTCAGCTGGGTTTGGATCCCAGCTTGCATCTAAGAGCTGGCCCTGGAAAGGCTGAAACAGGCAGATCCTTGGAGCTCACTGGCCAGCCAACTTGATTCAGTGAGAGACCCTGCCCCTCAGAATAAAGCAGAGAGTGATTGAGGAAGACATCTGATATCAACTGTTGGACTCCACAAACATAGGTATACATATGGTCCCCAATACACATGTACATTGTCAGACACACATGAGACATACTATATGTAGACACACTGCATTGCATCCTAGTCCAGCTAACTCTTTTAGTTAATGAATGAAGAAACACAATACTTTGATACAAATTTAAGGTACAGTTTCCCCTTTCTTATATGACTTTTTCAGACAGAGTCTCATGTAGTCCAGATTGTCCTCAAATTCACTTGTAGCCAATAAACTTTTGATCCCCCACCTCTGATTCCTGAGTGTGTGATTACAAGCCCCATGCTATGCTGGAATCAAATGTGGGGCTTTAGACATTCTACACAAGCACTCTGCCAAGTGAGCTACATCTTAATCACAGCCTGTCATTTCATATGACACACAAACCTTAATCACAAGTAAGGCAATCTGTACATACCTGACTAAGAGAAAACAGTAAAGAAAGAAACATTACCGGGCGAAGTTGGCCTTTCTGCGGCTGACGCTGAAAAGACAAAGCAAAGAGAAACTTTGGAGATCATTTTTATTTAGAAAGGCAGATATATGCGCTGTATTAAAATCCCACCCGCTGGGCGGTGGTGGCGCACGCCTTTAATCCCAGCACTTGGGAGGCAGAGGCAGGCGGATTTCTGAGTTTGAGGCCAGCCTGGTCTACAGAGTGAGTTCTAGGACAGCCAGGGCTACACAGAGAAATCCTGTCTCGAAAAAAAAAAAAAAACAAAGCAAAACATAACATAAAATCCCACCCAAGCAGCCTTTGGAATGTGAAACTAAATCAAAGAGCAGAGTTTGTGTTTTTATTGTTTTGGTTTTTTGTTGTTTGTTTGTTTTTTGGCTAAGACTGAAGTAGAGATAGAGATATGTGAAGGCAGGAAGAGAAATGTTCATTGTCTAGGGGGACAGTTTGTCTGGGAGGGGTCAGAAAGGCCACTTCTCTGGTGCAGAGAAGAGGATGATTTGCAGAGTGACAAATTACTAGGCACCTTCTTAATTCGACCCTTAGATGAATAACATTGACTCCTCAATTATGCCCAACAAAGATTGCAACACGTAGCTAGGTTGTCTGAACATGAAGAAAACAATCCCTTACAACAACGGAGTAAATTATCACCCTAGAGTCAATCTTCATTCAAATCTGTTCCTGTTCTATCACGGGGAACGGCAGGCAAACGTGATTGCAGCCCACCTTCTGAGCATGGAACTAATGCATCCTTGTTGAGTAACCACATGCTCAGAGCCCAGAGAACTCTGCCTTGCTCACAGAGAATACGTGTGAAATACAAGTTAAACAAGCACTCAACATGGACGAAGTCCTGAGAATAAGTGATTATTGAGTGCTCGGCTTTAAATTGGAGCCCAGGGAATGCTGAGAAGAGGGGGCAGAAAGAATGTAAGAGCTGGGGGTTAAGGGGGCACCATGTTTTCTGGGCATGGTATGGCTGTGACCCTCATGACTCGCTGCAGTTATGGTTACATGTTTACGATAGAGCCAACAAGCCTCTCATGTCGTCTAGGAAGATGGGGCTAGAGCCATCGCCAAACAGACTGCTCCTGGGATCTGCCAGGGCCACCCCACAGCCCAGTTGCTGACATACCACTTGGGCGGCCTGTATGTCCCCCAAATCACACACAAGCAGCACTACTTGGACCCAGTAGATTACAGAAAAAAGAAAGCAAAAAGGAAAATCCTTGAAAGAGGAGAGGGAATGTGCTGGGTAGAAACCAGCTATTCATGGAAAGTAGGAGGGGAGAATTGGGGATGGATATGATCAAGATATATTGGCTGAAAGTGTCAAAGGATAAATAAAATCTAAAAATGAATATATATTAAATAAACAGATGAATTACTTAAATTCTTTTATCTTAGTCTCTGCCTTACTTAAGAGATTCTTGGTCAACGTTATTTTCATCCCGTCTGATTTTCTTCTTTTATGTTGGGACACAGTAAAAGAAAACATAATCCACAAACTTTGTTGAATGGAACAAAGAAAGAAAGAAAGAAAGAAAGAAAGTAGGGAGGGAGGGAGGGAGGGAGGGACAGAGGGAGGGAGGAAGGAAGGAAAGGAAAGAAGGAAGGAAAGGAAGGAAGGAAGGAAGGAAAGAAAGAAAGAAAGAAAGAAAGAAAGAAAGAAAGAAAGAAAGAAAGAAAGAAAGAAAGATAGGAGGAAGGAAAGAAAGGAAGGAAGGAAAGAAAGAGGGAAACAACAGGAAACCATCTGAAATGAGAGGCCACAAGGAGACAGTTTAAACTAAGAAAGAGAAACTGGATTGTGTTCATAGACTTCTCAAGACCAGTGCTGACAGTCAGCCTCAGAGCTCAAAGCAGACAATATAAGGAAAATGCCATTACTGCAGTGGCTAGTGGGCAGAGCACCTGGAGAGTCCTTAAAGACAGTCGAGTCTCTGGGCTCTAAGGGGAACTCATGGGTGTTATGTAAAACATGGAACACAGAGGAGTGATGGGCAGAAAGAAGGGCAGGGTGGACAGTGAGGCTGTTACATTTCACATTATGTACATCTGCCCCAGCAAGCTTTGGAATGCCGAGATAAAGCCTTGGGCATGATTAGCAGACCCCCACCAGCATCCAAATGTCCCCAAGCTAATTTCCAGTACCGTCATCAAGGATCACTGACAAAGCCAGCAATGAGTACCTGAGCAGATGACACTGGCATCTTCATGGTGGCCACAGTTGTGGACAGACAAGCCTGGGTGGTGGCACTGGGCTAGTGACATCTCACTGCCCTGGCACTTTACATCGTCCAGGAAGATGCTCCCTACGCCCTCTCCGAAGTGGCCACTCCCAAGGGCACTGACACCCTTCCCACAGTTCAGCTGCCGGCATACCACATGGGCATCCTCGAGGTCCCAGAGATCGTCACAAACAGTGCCCCATGTGCCATTGTGGTGGATTTCCACTCGCCCTTCACACTGGTTCTTTCCATCCACCAACCTGATCGTGAGCTGATCTGGAGAAGACACAGGGTTAGTCCTGAGGTGTTGTGGGCACCACAGGACTCTTTTCTTTAGTTATTAATATTACCCCTCTAGAGCCAGAGGGGTGAAGGACACCACAAGAAGACCAACAAAGTCAACTAACCTGGGCCCACGGGTGCTCACAGAGACTGAACCATCAACCAAAGAGCGTGCATGGGCTGGGCATGGACCTCATACATACATGTAGCATGATCTCCACGTGGGTCCCCTAATACTTGGAGTTGGGGCTGACTCTGACTCTGTTACCCCATTTTGGATCCCTTTCCCCTAGCTGGGCTACCTTGTTTAGCCTCAGTGGGAGGGGATGCAGCTAGTCCTGCTCCAACTTGATGTGCCACAGTGGGTTGGAAGGGGGACTTCCATTCTCAGAGGAGAAGGGGAGAGGGAAGTAGGGGGAGGGAGTGTGAGGTGAAACTGGAAGGAAAGGAAGGGGCGTCAATCAGGATGTAAAGGGAATAAATAAACAAATTAACTAAGGGAAGAAAAGAAAAAATATTATCCCTCTAAATCTCAGAACTGTAGGAACCCTGGCTTTCTGCCTTTAAGCACCACAGGACTACACCATATTAATGGTCCTAAGTGCAGTGACTTGTTTTCTCTTGCTAATTCTGATTTCTTATCTCTAGACTAAAAATACACTACAGTTATTACAATGATTATCCTATCCTTAGATCCAAGCAACAAAATCCCATCAGCATTCTGTTAAATATGCCAAACTCAAGCTTTATCTCTTCCTTTTAGATGAAGCTTGTTTCTTAAAATTATCTAAAAGGCTGGGGGATGACAAGCAGTAACAGTCCATATGAATAGCCTTCCCTCTGGTTCACTTTCTCATCCCCAGGAGAGTGAGCTCCAGGTAGCCAGCAATAGATGGTTCAGGCTATAAACTTAGGGAGATCCCTAGAAAGGTCTGATAATCAGGAGGGAAAAGCAATGAGAATATTACCAGCTGTGGGAGCCACTCCTGCTGAAGCTGAGGCAACACCAACAACTGGAAGAGAAAATCAGAAACACTGACATCAGTGGAGGTTCATCCAATATCACAAGTCAAGTGGGCATGAATCCTTGTCATGCCCGTGTGATGGGGCACACACGTGGTGTGGTCATATGCTGTAGCCAGCTCATGCTGACAGTGCCTCAGAGCCACCGGTCTTTCCTCACCTGAGTTACTAATACTCTCTGGGACCATCTCCCGAGCTGATAGGCAGGTGGCACTAAGGGCATCCGTGGCCACAAAATAGGGAATGAACATGGACATTTTAACTTAGAGTTTTTAATTCTCCGGCACCATGAAACTAACTCTTCAGATATAAATGGAACAAGATAACCAGGAAACTGGCAGAGTGGAGGGGACACAACCTCTCTCCACCTTGATCCTCACGCCGTCTCCTAGCCTTACCCCTGCCTGGCCCTCTAGGAGGAGGAGAATGAGGCAGCGGCGAGGCCCAGCGGTGGAACAATTAATTAATAACAAAGTAAGGTTTCAGTGGTCAAGATTTTTTTAAGGTTTTGTTAAAATCTACTCTCTCATATATTTCATCCCAACCACAATTTCCCCTGCTTCCTCTCCTCTCAGTCTCTTTCTCCCTATCTTCCCTCTCCCCAACAATTCACCACTCCTGTTTCCCTTCAGAAAAGGGGAGACTTCCCAGGGATATCAAAAAAACATGATATATCAAGTTGCAATAAGACTAGGTGCCTCCCCCCATATCAAGGCTGGACCAGGCAACCCAGTGGGAGGAAAACGTGCCAAAAGCAGGCAAAAGCGTCAGAGACAGCCAGCACTCCCCCTGTTAGGAGTCCCACGAGAAGACAAACCTATACAACCATAGCATACATGCAGAGGGCTTAGGTTAGACCCATGCAGCCCCCTTGGTTGTTGGTTCAGTCTCTGTGAGCCTCTATGAGGTCAGGCTAGTCAATTCTGTGTGTTTTCCTATGGTGTCCTTGACCCTTCTCGTTCCTACAATCTTTCTTTCCTCTCTTCCACAAGACTCTTTGGTCAAGTTTTTTTGAGTGGTTACCTAAACTCGTTCCTTGTAGCAAGAAAGTCCCATCATGGGAAGTGCATGAGGAGGGCATTCGTGTAGTCAAACTATCTGAAACCTCATCTGGAGGAGGACTTAAGGAGTTTGATGCACACAGAAGGGCCATTCCCAGGAGTTTAACGGCCTGACAGCAGGTGGATTATTGCTTATAGGACTTCCATGTGTAAGGTCTGGGGAGTAGGCTGTGACAATGGACAATAGACACACACTTCCTGACACTAGGGTGACCAATGTTATTGGCTGCTGGAGTCCAAGTGTGCTGGAGGGGTGTAATACTCTCCACGCAAAAGCCAGGACAAGTGTGCCTCTGCAGGGACCCTGTGCCCTTCTGTGCTACCTGGTTTGTAGCATGGGAGGAAAATAAAGTTCCAGCAGAGATCAGTTACCTGAACAGATGGCGCCCGCATCCTCATGGTGCTCACAGTTGTGCACAGAAAGGCCGAGGTGGTGGCAGTGCCCCAAGTTGGTCTCTGTGCCCAAGCATCTCACGTCGTCTAGGAAGATGGGGCCAGAGCCATCGCCAAACAGACTGCTCCTGGGGGCTGCCAGGGCTACCCCACAGCCCAGTTGTTGACATACCACTTGGGCAGCCTGTATGCCCCAAAGGTCATCACACACAGTCCCCCAGGTCCCATTGAAGTAGACTTCTACACGGCCCTCACACTGGCTTCTCCCGTCAGCCAGTCTCACCAGCTGCAGATCTGCAGGAACCAAGGACCAAGTCAGCTGAGGGTCCTTCTGTGCTCATGGGGGACAGAAAATCAAACTGGAAAATCCTAGCCTGGTGTGCAGCCAGCTGTTGGGGTAACATGCACCTGTCTATGAATGGTTGTGGATGTAGGCTATACCCCAAGGAACACATAGGACCACTTTCTGTACTGGAAATTTAACATGTTTCTACTTGTGTTAGATTACTGTCCTGGGCAGTTTGGTTATGGAATGGAGGCCACAGTCTAGCATTGAGGAAGATGTACCTAAAAATATTGTTCTCCCATAGAGCTGTTTCCATGGCTCTTTTTTTTTTAAAAAAAACCATTTCTTTTTTGAGATGAAGGGTCTTACTAACATTCCTAGACTGGCCTAGACCTCATATCCAGGTAGGCTTGTAACATGCAATCCTCCTATCTCAGTCTCCCAAGCAGCTGAGGTTTCCAGGCCTTTGACATCATGCCCAGGGTTCACTGATGTTAGGGTCTTTTTTTTTCCTCTTCAGAAAATCAATTTCTAAAGGCTGAAAACAGTGCATCTCTGTGCTGAGAGCTCAGACTGGATGTCTAACTTGGTTTTCTCAGGTAGGATGTAACTTATAAGATATAATTAGTTGTTCGTCACTTGAATCTAGAAAGCTGTAAACTATTTATCAAAATGGGCACAGCATCCCTGAGGCAGTGTGAAAAAGACTCTGAACTAAAGCAGATGAAGTCAATTGATTCTCAGAGTCAGGACCCTCAGGACTGGGGCAGGTTCTTTGACAGGGTTCACTAGAACACAATGTGGAGCCCAGTCTTTGAGTATCAGATGCTGCAATTGAGGTAAGCGAATTGGCTCTGTCCTTTACAAACAAACAAACAAACAAAACCCATAATTAGAAGAAGCCACATGTCACAAGTTTTACTGAGCCTTTTTGTTTTATAGCATTAAGGCCATGAAACTAATTTCTTTTTCTAACTCCTCCCCTCTTTCCCTTCTCCTCACCGCACCTCCCCTGCCTGCTGTGTGTGTGTGTGCGTGCGTGTGTAGACCAGATTAGATATAATTCCAGGTTTATTCTTCAGGATACCTACTACCTTGTGTTTTAGAGACAACATCTTTTATGTTTTCTGGAATTGGCTGATTTGGCTTGACTGTTTGGCCAGAAATTGCCAGGGATCTGTCTGTCTCCATTTGTCCCAAACTGGTATTTCAAGCATGTGCCACCATGCCTGGGTTCTAGAGACTGAACCAGATCCTTGTGCTTGGGTGGCCAGCACTTTACCTACTGAGCTGTCTCCCCAGACTTATTTGAATCATTTCTGTTAGTCGCAATCAGCCTCAGAACAGAGAGTCACAGGCTGTAAGAGTAGGAAGATACCTGGATGCAAACCGTGTGGACGTTCTTCAGGAGCTGAAGTAGCTGCACGGGTAAGAATGGGGGAAAGTTACCACAGACACATTCTAAGCAAACAAAATGCTACCTCATGCCCTTAAGTGTCACCTAAATCATATAAGCAAGTTGGCCTTTAAACAACCCCACTGAGTAGCCAATCAAATAGTTTCATATAAACTGTGATAATGGCTCATGCATGCATGTGCTCATTATTCTAAATAAGAATGAGACATAAAATTCATGTTGGGATCATGAAGCTCCGGCCTCATAGCAGGGGCCTAATTGTCAGATCATCCCAGGTCCCAAGTACACTTTGCAAATAGAGAAGGAGCCTCTAGCCCCAGGTTCTTCTGCCACTAGGCCACTCTGTGGCCTGCCAAGACCTCTGCTGTAAGTTCTTACAGCAGAACATCTTGGGTCAAAAGCTGGCATCATATTTTTCTGCTGAAATGTGGTGCTTGTTTGCAAAAGGGATGACACACCAATATGTTAATTTCAGGATACCTTTCCTCTGGGTGTATGGCAGGGCCCCCAGGGACTAGGAAGTAGCCCTGGGTCCTAATCTTCTAGAACAGTCTAGAGATCAAGGAATTGTCAAAAATAAATTAAAATTCAGAAGAGAGACCCAGTGTGGTAACCCTTCTGGTAGACTCTAGTCGCCAAGCAGGAAATACAGTAGTCATGAACTCATATATACCTGGATGTCCACTAGCTGCAGAATCTATAGAGAGAATGGAAACATGAGATGGTAGATATGAGAAACAAGATGCTGAAGTGCCCTAAAGGACATGGTCATTGTTTAATTATACTTGAAGAAAGCTGGGTATGAGCAATTCTTCTGAAGCATCCAAGACTGTTTCCTCTTCTGTGGGTTCTCACCTACCTAAAAACCTGGGTACACTATTCTGACTGAGTTAATCTTAATAACAAAAATGATAATAGCTAGTTATTTGTATAATTTATGGTTTCTTAGACGCTCAACTAAACACTGTGTACAGGTTGCCTTGTTAACTCCTACCAGCCCTATGAGGCTAGTACTATTACTCTCTCTCTCTCTCTCTCTCTCTCTCTCTCTCTCTCTCTCTCTCTCTCTCTCTCTCTCTCTTTCTCTCTCTCTCTTTCTTTCTTCCTCTCTTTCTTTTGCTGATTAATCTCTTCAGACCCTCAGTTTGAAAAATAGACACCCTAAGTATTGCAAGCACCATTTTCAATGTTGGAAAAGAAACCCACTGTCCTGCCTGTGGGGTAGGTTCAAGGTGTGCCAGCATTCAGGTTTGGCTTGGGCAGTTCTGTAACTGGTCTAGGATGGACTTTCTCTTACCTGAACAAATGACACCAGCATCTTCCTGGTGCCCACAGTTGTGGGCGAGCCAGTCTCTGTGAGAGCACTGTGCCAGGGAAGATTCTGTTCCTGTGCAGTTGACATCATCAAGGGCTATGCTGCCTGACCCAGGGCCAAAACTGCTGCCTGCCAGGGCAGATAAAGCTGGACCACAGCCAAGCTGTCTGCAGACCACGTGAGCATCCTCTATGGACCAGTTGTCATCGCACACAGTCCCCCAAGTGTTGATATAGTACACCTCAACTCTGCCTTCACACCTGCTTGTCCCATTCACCAGTCGCAGGTCCAGACCTGTGAGTAATTCAGGAAGAATCCTCTCAAGGGTCTATCCTCAAAGTGCCAGGAAAAGCAGCTATTTCTTGAGAGTCATAAATTAATAGTAAAAGGATGGCAAACTCACTTTCCCTTCATTTCATTTCAAATCAATTAAATTCTAGTCCTTGGTACCACTCAATGGGTTTTCAAGGTTGTGTTTGGTAAAGAAATGATTGTCCCTTGGCCAGCTGGTCCAGGAACTTGCCCTTGGTCGTCTTACTGGAAGTTATAAGTTTTGATTTCTGGTACTCACAAAATATGTCATATTTTTACTTTTATCATTTTCTTTTCTTGAGGAGCTGTGCTAACTGGTGTGTATATGTGTGTGAGTGTCTGTGTGTGAGTGTGTGTGTGTATGTGTGTGAGTGTGTGTGTATGAGTGTATGTATGTGTGTGAGTGTGTGTGTATGAGTGTATGTATGTGTGTGAGTGTGTGTGTGTGTGTGTGAGTAAGTGTGTGTGTGTGTATGTGTATGAGTGTATGTGTATGTATGAGTGAGTGTGTGTGAGTGTGTGTATGAGTGTGTGTGAGTGTGTGTGAGTGTATGAGTGTGTGTGTGTGAGTGTGTGAGTGTGTGTGTGTGTGTGTGTGTGTATGTACACTGATCAAGGGATGATAGTACTAGACACCAGGATCAAGTGTGACCCATGTGTCAAGGTATCCCAGGGAATGAGAAAGGCAGTCACTGCTGATTCCCATGTCAAGTTGCTATGTTAGAAGAGAATAAAAGTTCAGAAGACAGCCAAGATCACTTTCTAGGTAGGGCTGGGTAATTACAGCACGACATCCTGAGCCTTCTGGGTAAGGACAGCATGATACCCTGAGCCTTAACGGAGCAGCTTTCACACCACTCCCATGCAAATCGTTCTTGCTTCTTGCAGTATTTTCTTTGTTTTTCTGTTTTTGTTTTTTTGGAGAGGAAAGAGTTTATTTCATCTTATATCTTACAGTACATTATGAATGGTAGTCAAGAGAGGAAATCAAACATGAACTTGGAGGCAGGCATTGAAGAAGTCATGAAGAAATAGAATTACTGTACTCACATACATGAAATAAATAAAATTTAAAAAAAGGGGCTGGAGAGATGGCTCAGTGGTTAAGAGCATTGACTGCTCTTCCAGAGGTTTTGAGTTCAATTCCCAGAAACCACATGGTGGCTCACAACCATCTGTAATGGGATCTGATGCCCGCTTCTGGTGTGTCTGAAGACAGTGACAGTGTGCTCATATACATGAAAGAAATAGAATTACTATCTTCTGCAGACTGAGTTCTTATTCCAGCTGCTTAGGGATAGCACTTGCAATAGTAAATCATCAGTCACGAAAATACTCAGTGATCTTTTTCTTCCTAGACAATCTGAAGGAGACATTTTTTCAACTGAAGTTTCCTTTTTCAGCTTGACTCCTGTTAGACTATATTTGATTAAAAAAAAGCAAAGCAAGAACAAAAGGAAGAATAGACAAAAGAAAGGAAGAAAGAAAGGAAGAAAGGAAGAAATAAAGAAAGGAGGAAGGAAAGAAATATTTTCTCAAAGAACCAGCTCCTGGTTTTGTTGATACTTTGTATAGCTCTTTTTGTTTCTACTTGGTTGATTTCAGCCCTGAGTTTTACTATTTCCTGCAGTCTACTCTTCTTGGGTGTATTTGCTTCTTTTTGTTCTAGAGCTTTCAGGTGTGCTATTAAGCTCTTGCAGTATTTTCTAGTCCCAGATTTTCTAGATAGTCCAGGCATTCCCAATCCTCCATCAACAGAATCAGCCTGAGCTGGGGTGGGGGGGGGAATGGGAATACACAGTGGACTTAGCAGGGATGCTCCTCGTCTAGCGCTCCTGGAATCTAGACTCAAACACACATAGGAAAAGGCAACTGAGGAGAGAAGAAAAGGTTACCTGTTGATGTGTGCACCTCTGGCAGCTTTACTAGCGATGCTAAAGATGGATAGAAAGCAAAAAGAAGAAAATTATTCACCTTTGTTAGGTGTCAGGCATCTTCAACTCTTCATCAACTTCCAGTAGGCTCTCCACCTTTTGAACTATCTAAAGACGGCTTCTAATCACCTGGCTTTGTGGTACTTTTCTCTGTAAAGAATAAGCCTTCCATCCCTCAATCAGTGTGTACACAGTGAATACAAACTACTTTATAAGCACAATAAAACCACAGCCTGGGGTAAACAGATTTTAAAAAAATAGATACAGTTTAAAGCCAATAAAACATCCTTTGAAGACCTCTGCTACAAGAACAAACCAAGCTGGTGCTTCTTCTGAAGGCTTAGGGTCATTCTTTCTCTCAATTCCTTGCATGTTGAACTTTGTTCTTTAAGATCTGTCCTGAGGATCAGCTGACTGAGTTTGAAATGTGGCAACTACTGGGCCCCAAATAGCCAGGAGCACATAGAAATGTTAATGCTTCTTCATCCTTCCTCCAGGGGTAAAGCAAGAGGGAAATCCTTACAGTACTCTGATCAGAAGATAACGGCTGATGTCTCTATAGCGTGTTTTCTCACATGCTAAGCACTGTGTCAACCTCTCCCTCCTGCACAAGGAAGGTCACCCAATCCCAGCATATCCTGAGGATGCAAATGCCACCACTCACCTCACTCATCCAGAGGAGGAAACAGAGACAGTTCAGGGTTTTGCTCAATGTATAGATGACGAAAACAGGGTGTTTGACTCTTAAACCTCTACCCTACTTCCCAGTGTGACTTTGCCAATGCAAGTTACAGCCAATCAATCAAGAAAACTGACATTACCTGAGATCATATCACTCACGAGAAATGATGGTGCTGGCTGGGACAGAGAGGCTATGAAAGACATAAGAAGAGTAGAAGTCACTGTCACCTCTCTTCATTTTATTAAACCCCATAGTTAAGCCTGTTTATTTGAATTATTTGGGGAAAAAAACTAAAGCTAGATGTATTCCATCTCTGCATCAAAGAGTGACCACTAGTCACCACCTGAGTTTCTGGATTCCTAGATCATTCTGTTCTGATAGTAGATACTAGAATATAATTTTCTTTCTTTTAAAAACAAACTGTGGCCACAGTGATAGTAATCTATACGAAGCACTTGTCTTGCTAGTCTGCTATTGTAATTCTTATTTTTAATTAATCAGTAAGTTGATCAATTAGAGACAAGATCCCATGTAGTCCAGGCTAACCTCAGACTTGCTGTGAACTTACTGTGTAGCTGTCATGTGGTTGTTGGGAACTGAACCTGGATCTTCTGCATTGAGCCATATCCAGGCCCTATACTAAAATTTAAATAATATTTATTACATGATTTTATAGTCACTGTGTATGGTGGTTTGAGTGAAAATGACCCCTATAGGCTCACATATATGAATGCTCAGTCCCCTGCTGGTAGAATTGTTTGGGAAGGATGAGGAGGTGTGGCTTTGTTGAAGGAGGTAGGTCCCTGGTGGCAAACAGTGAGGTTTCAAAAGCCTAAAAAATTCCCAATTAACTTGATCCGCTTGTCTGTGTGGCTCAAGGCGTGAGCGCTCAGCTACCGCACCAGCACCATGTCTACCTGCCTGCTGTCATGCTCCTCACCACGACTCTAACTCCTCTGGAACCATGATCCCCAAATAAAATGTTTTCTTCGATAAGGCATCTTGGTGATGGTGTTTTATGATAGCAATTGAAAAGTAACTAAGACATTGTGTTTGTGCTCAAGTATGGTCTGTTTGCAGCCTGCGGCCTTGGTTCTCTAAGCTGATCAAGTTTGAAGCTTCCTTGTAAAAGAAATGTACATAAATAAAGAGTCAGACAAAAGGAAACGGTTATGAAGATCACACCTTGAGTAGCAGGTAGGTGTGGGGGGAACAGTGGCCTTGGAACTGTCCTAGATTCTCTTCCTGTTTTCTGTGTGGTGGGGCAGAACAGAAGGTTCCCAGAAGTGCAAAGTCATTAACCTGCCTGGTTCAGAACCCAGCCCACCTGAGCAGACAACACCAGCATCTTCGTGGTGGCCACAGTTGTGGGTGAGCCAGCCACTGTGCAGACATTGCCACAGTCTGGCTTCTGTTCCCATGCACTCTACATCATCCAGGACAATGGGGCCTAGGCCTCGCTCAAAATGTGCTCGGCCAATGGCTACCACAGCCCCACCACAGCCGAGCTGCCGACACACCACCTGGGCGTCTCTCAGGTCCCAGCTGTCATCACACACTGTGCCCCAGCTGCCATTGTAGAAGAGCTCCACGCGGCCCTCACACGGGTGGCTGCCATTGGCTAGTCTGAGAGCCACATCTGAAAAAGCAGACAAACCGGGTCAACCACCCCGAGGCTCCCCTTTGTCAATGACTTGAAGGTAAGGAGGACATGTTCTCTGCCCTGGCTAGCTTTGAGGGCTCTGTCTTCACAAGAGAGAGGGCATCTTGTAGGTTAGAGCTGACCGTTGAGCAGTGTGGACTCAATGGAAACGTGTTAGGTGGTCCGGGTAGAGGTTTTTAACACCCCCTCCTCTTCACACATAAATTTATATTTTACAAAACTCAAGAGAAACTCCCAAAAGCCTTCTGTAAAGTGGCAATACTGGGCATGGAAACTCGGTCGAGCTACCATTTGTGAACTCGTTATTAGCATAGTTGTGAATAAGACAGGTTTTAACACAGTGCTGGCTGAGTTCCCTTTTTCTTAAGAGTCCATGGACCTTTAACCTGACGCAATATGCTCAGAGCAATCTGCTTAGCCAGTCTCTTCAACCTACATCTCAGGAGCTATAACTGACAGGGAGCTTGGGAACCACTTTCAAATGCCTAGCTCCCAGGTAACTGAACAGCCATCTGAGTTCAGAGTCACCAAGCAGGGCTGAGATGATGAACAGACCTACCTGTGTCTTTCTCATCTTGCAACAGAGACTCATAAGATGCAAAGAATCCAATGTTGGTGACGATTGCATCACTGTGGAACACCACGCTCATGTGGCTTGAGGAAGAGGTAAATATTGGGGTTGTTTCAGAGCAGAATCTCCCCAGTGAAAATGGTTCATTTTGTGGGCCATCAAAAATCTCAATGAAGTCATAAGGGCAGCCGTAGAAATTTTCCATCCTGTGAATAAAAAGGCTTCATTCAAGCTCCTTTCTTTCCTTGGTCTTTGCGTCTTGGAGTGACTTCCCAAGAGGTTATAGCAAGGGTCAGACAAAGCTACTGAAGACCTGTAACTCCTCCCACAGGTTAGGAGAAGAGCTGATCCCACTGGCTCAGGCACAGGTACCTTTCTATTTCTATTTTTTTGTGTGTGTGCTAAAACATTATTTTCACACAGTATGTTCTGGCCACAGGTTTACCTTCTCTCAGGTCCTCCCTACCTCCACGCTCCCTCACCCTACTCCATGTCCTTCCTTTTCTCTCTTTAAAAGAGAGAAATAAACTAAAAAAAAAAACAAACAAGAAACTCCCCCTCCACCCATACACATATACAAACCCACAAAAGTGGAACTCAAAATATATGAGCAAGATACTTGGTAAAACAAAAATGCCCCAAACAAAGCAATTTTACACACACACACACACACACACACAAAAGAAAAGCAAGAAAGTCTACAAAATACCATTAAGTTTACTTTCTTTTAATTTGTTAAAGTCTTAATTCAATAACATCTTTTCAATGTGAGCTATAAGCACACAGAACATAATTTACATGATAACAATGGCTTATGGCAAAAAGTAAAACTCTGTCTCGCCCACAGTCCCCCACACTTTATTCCCCTTCCCAGAAGCAGACCCTTTTCCTCCCACGGGCAGTTTGCACAGGAATGGTGGCAGACTTGACATTTATCCACTGTTGCATCTGGTTCTGTAGCAATAGTCACTTAGCCTGTGACAGTAACATGTGGTGACCAAAATTTGTCTAGTGGATCTCCTGCTGATGGACAAGTAGCCTAACGCCAATCTACTGTTGCTGTGTGAAAGCTGCAAGACTCTGTCTGTACTCCCAGGAAGTAAGTTCCTGGGATTTGAGAACATAAGCTTTTGATCAGTATTACTAGGTACAGTTTACTTGGGACCTCTAAGGTACAGTTTACTTGGGAGAATTGTGGCTCTTCAGTATTTTATATAATGTTTATACATGCATGTGCTACATGCATCCAGACATTCCTAATTCCTTCCCTTCTGATTCCTCTACTACCTCCCTCTCTACTTTTCCTTCCAAATTCACATGCTCTCTCTTTTTAAGTTTTATTCATTTTTACCTGTTTATTGTGAGACAGGTCTCACAATATAACCCCTGGACAGCCTTGAACAAATAGAGGTCTGCCTGCATTTGCCTCTGGAGTGAGTGCTGGGGTTAAAGGCTTATGCCACAGTGCCTACTTTTTTGGTTTGTTTGTTTTAATTTGCTATCCACTGAATCCATTCAGTACTTTCTCTGTGCACATGGGTCTGGGACTATCTAACAGAGCATGGGTAGTCCTCTTAATGCCTGCATCGAGAAGAAAAGTGGCTTCCTCTTAGTAGCTATCAACTACCGATAGTTCTTCAAACAGGGGTGGGACTTCATGAGCCCACCCCTCATCCACGCTGAGATTTTGGCTGGCTTTACATTGTGCAGGTCTTGTGCATGACACTTAGGCTGTTATGAGTTCATGTGTGCAACAGCTCTTGTGTCCAACAAAGGGGTAGTAAACCTGACGTGTGCGGAGCCAAGTAATGATAATTGTACAAGCAGAAAATATTTACTCACTTGACCACTTCGAAGGTGAGTCTGATGTGTGCACCAGTATCTACTTGTATGTCCCAGGCACACACCACATTGGTAGGATATTTTTTAGGATACCAAGGACTGGAGAAGGAGCCTGAACTATTTGTGAGCAAACCACCACACTGGAAAATTTCATCTGTAAAAAAAAAAAAAAAAAAGTGAGGAAATCCTACGAGGAGACACTGACCTTTGATGCTTTCACTTTGTTTTCTTTGTGTTTTATCAATGTCGAAAGGAGATGCAATGAAAGCAGAAGAGGAAGGAAAAGAAGCTGAGTGTACAGAGTTCACAGCTGTAATCCCAGCCCCACGGAGGCTGAGACAGGAGCTCAAAGGTGAGGCCAGCATGAGCTGAAGAGTCTGAAGAGAAACCATGCCACCAAAAAGAAGTAGGGAAAACTTACTTCTTGTTGTTAGGATGCATTTTTAATGCGGGGTGTGTGTGTTTGTGTGTGTGTGTGTGTGTGTGTGTGTGTGTGTGTGTGCGTCCCTGTGGAGGATAGAAGAGGCCACTGGATCCCTTGGAACTGGAATTCATAGACAGCTGTGAGCTGCCTGATACAGGTTTTAGAACTGAGTTCAAGCCCCTTGCCAGAACACCAAGCACCCTTAACTGATGAGCCATGCATCAAGCTTGAACAACAACAAAAACCCAAACCCAACAAACAAAATTCACTTTTTTTTTTTTGGTTTTGTTTTTCGAGACAGGGTTTCTCTGTGTAGTCCTGGCTGTCCTGGAACTCACTCTATAGACCAGGCTAGCCTCGAACTCTCGAACTCAGAAATCCGCCTGCCTCTGCCTCCCAAGTGCTGGGATTAAAGGCATGCGCCACCACCGCCCAGCTTAAATCCACTTTTTTTGAGACAGGGCTAACATAGCTCAGGCTGACTATATAGCTGGGGTGACCTTGAACCCCAGAGATCATTCAGCCTCTACTTCCTGAGTGCTGGAATTATAGGCAATGTACCATTATGACTACTTTTATGCAGTGTTAGGGATTGAGCTCAGGGCTTCCTGTGTGCTAGACAAACAGTCTTCCAATTAAGCTACACACCCAGTGTCAGTATCAGCCTCTTGACAGACGAAGATCATTCGCTTAGTGAAGGGAAAATGGTCACATCTAGAAATGAACAGGCTTTATGAACCCCGGTGCACAGGAAGGTTTACATGTGCAAACCCAGAGGCAAGAGATACGAAGATAATACAAACCAAAGTGGCCTTTCTCAGTAGGATGTGCTACAGAACAGCGCATATTAGAGCAGTGGTTCTCAACCTGTGGGTCACGACCCCCACCAGGGTCGTGTATCTGATATCCTGCATGTCAGATGTTTATATTACCACTCATAACAACAGCAAAATTACAGTTATGAAGTGGCAACGCAAATAATTTTATGGTTGGTGGGGGTCACCATAACATGAATTCTATTGAAGAACTGCAGCATTAGGAAGGCTGAGGATCCTGAAATGACTTTATTAAAAGAAATAATTGGAAAGCTACAAAGCTGATGTAGCATCTTAGTTCCTATGACGGGAAGCCAAAGTCAGCTCAGTCTAAATTGTCATAACCAATTATAAGCCGCCAACTCATTTTTAACTAGGGACTCCCCAGGGAAGGCACTGGCACTTTCACCAAACATTTGCCTTAACTCCAATTTTTCCCTCTCAAAGCCTGTGCCGTCGGTGAAGCCCCAGATAACTCTAGCTTGTGGCCGCTCAATTCAAAATGGCTATCTGCTCAAAATTTTAAAATTCTTTAAAGCTTTAATGCTTACCTTTTCAATTATTATGTACGAATTGGTTCTGAAATCAAGACCAAGATTAACTAAAGTACCCGATTAGGACAGAGCTCTTGGCTTTGGTGTAGGACTATCTATAGAGCCCATGTGCAGCGGCTTCGTACATATTAAAAGAAGGAAGGCTGAGTTACTGAGCAGAGAGAAGTGTATACACCAAGAGCTTATGTGACGCTGCAGCACCTGTCACGACCTCACCAGTGGAGTCTGGAAATGCACAGACAAAAGGGCCGTGATCAAGAGTCTGCATCCATATTCATTCTTTTCTTAAAACACTCAAGACTCCCGATCTTCAGAAGCCATCATTCTGTGCCCAGCGAACAGAGATGTTTGTGCCTCAACAATATGGACAGAGGCCACTCCAGACAACCCTAAGTTTCTGGTTCCTTGCTCTATCTAGACTCTTGTGATGAGATCATCACTGCCAGCAGTTGGTCCTCTGTCTACTGAGCCAGCAGCCGAGAGATTTCATCTCCAGTTACATCTGAACCCCCTCCTTGTCTTGTCTTCTCACCCTCTGCAGCAATTTAGTTCTGCCACATTGACAACTGGGATGGGCGGTACTGCTTTTGCTGATTAGAAACAAAGTATCTAATTGGACCTTTCTCTCCAGCATCAGAACTTGAACGGTAGCTGGGATTCTCACCCATGAGGGCCCTGGCAACTGATTTGGATGAATTGACAGACAGTACCTGCTGGTTCTCCACTTGGTGCATCGTCGATACCTATTCAAAGACAGATGTGAGAGTGAGAGACAGATTAAATAAGGTGGTCACATAACTCTCCAGAAAAATCTGATACTTTCTTCAGAAGCAGACGTGCTCCGTTCTGGGCCATTTGGAAAAGTAGACTTAAAACTCGTGTAGATTAGTGAGGGGTGCGAGCCAGTGTGAGGGAGCTCACTGTGCCCTGTGGTTCAGGTGCAGCAGGGCTTATCAGGGCTTATAGCAGAGACTTATGCTATCGTCTCTACTTTATTGGAAGCTGTGAGTATTAAAGGAGAATTCCGAGGCATTGGCTGTAGGTCAGAGTTCAGCACTCACAGAACACTTGGTGGGCACTAGATTGTTACCAGTACCCAGGTGTGCCGTGCCAGGAATACAATAATAATTGTATAATTATTGTATTATAATAATAATTGTCCAATAATTCTAACCATTTATATAATTGCTAATTCCCAGGTGAGATTTTTTGAACCCTTTACAGATACCAGAATCTAAGATTGAAAACTAGCTCTTATGTAAATTGACTTAAAAACTGGCTCAAAACCCAGAGCTCATTGCTGACTGCTTGCCTGCTGGTGTTGACACCTCTCTTCCCAGTGGCTGGGGGTGGGGGTGGGGTTGGCAAGGCTCTCTCCCTGAGATGTGATGTAAGCCACACCACTCACCTGAGCAGACCACGCTGGCATCTTCATGGTGCCCACAGTTGTGGGAGAACCATCCGTGATGTGTGCATTGCCACACCTTGGCTTCATCCCCCATGCACTGCACATCATCCAGAATGATATGGCCCATGCCTTTATCAAAGTAGCTCTCAGCTGGGGCCGACATGGCCTTGCCACAGCCGAGCTGCCGGCACACCACCATGGCATCTGTCAGGTCCCAGCCGTCATCACACACTGTGCCCCAGGTCCCATTGTACGAGATCTCTACTCGGCCCTCACATCTGTGGCTGCCATTCACCAGTCTCAAGGCCATTCCTAGGAATGGAAAAATAGGTGCTTTAGAGATGTGTTGTCCTCAGATTCTAGAAGCATCTGCAGGTTGAGAAAAATGTTCTACATATTGGAGCTTTGGAGTGGGCCTGTGACCTGATTCCCTAAAATTTTCTGACTGCTAAAGAGCAACTAATGCCTATTAAGTTTTAAATTTCTCTCTCTCTCTCTCTCTCTCTTTCTCTCTCTCTCTCTCTCTCTCTCTCTCTGTGTGTGTGTGTGTGTGTGTGTGTGTATGTTTGTGTGAGTGTAGGCACATGTGTGGAGGTCAGAGGACAACTTTGATTGTCGGTCCTTGCCTTGAGGCAAGTCTCTTCTTCACTACTGCCTCCAGTTCACACCAGTCTAGCAGGCTTGTGAGCGTCTGAGAAGTCTCCTGTCTCTGCCCCCTGGACTCAGGTTCTTGACCCACTGAGCCATTTCCAAACCCAGTATTTTAGAGTCTCTTAAGCTCACAAAAGCATCCCAGCTGGAGGATAACTTATATTAAGCCACTGGAATGTTCTCGCACCCTGCAGCAGAACCTGAGAGGCTCACAAGTGTTCTGGATGGTGTATGATTAACCCAGCCAGACGAAAGACTGACAATTATACTTTGTGACAGTTCTAGAATAATCCTTCATATTGCCTCTTTTCCTTCCTTTGAGAAAGGAAATGGGGTTCTCTTTGAGCATATACACACTGTGGGAGACAAGAGACCCCAGCCATCTGTTTCTAGATGCTTGGTGATGACAGTGACTGTGGCTGGCTGAGCAGGGGTAAGGGTTATGGACGACAGTGAGGATGCCACTCAGCAGAGGTGGGCAAATCAGGTGCAGCATAATTCAGGTCAGATTTCAAAAGCTTCTTCTCTCTAAACGGGACAAGGCACACCCAGTGCACTCCCTGCATGGTGGGGGTCAGGATACCCACCATTTTGCCTTTCGCCTTGCTGAACAGTGTTGTACAGAGCATAGAAGCCCGAGTTGGTGATCATGGTGTCACTTTTAAACACCACCGTCATGAAATTTGAAGAGGAGAGGAATGTGAGTTCTGCCCCAGCACAGACTTTGCCCATGGAGAGTGAGGCAACTTGCTGTCCATCGAACACTTCCACAAAGTCGTAAGGGCACCCATAGATGTCCTCTAGTCTGAGGGGATAAAAGCAGCATTAGTCTCCTCAAGACAATCCCCCATCTCCTCCCTCTTGCCCCCACACACTCCCCACACACATCTAAGAACCCCTTGAATCTGCCCTTCCCCCCACTTCCCCTCATGGACTATCCTGATCTGTCAGACTTCCCATTCATATCTGGTCCATTTTGGTGGCCTCCATCAGGAAGCCTAGCTTTCGATCTCTCTGACCTTCTTCCTTTTTACCCTGAATATCTCTTTAATGTCTCCGACCCTTTAATCCAAGTCCTGCTTTGGGTGATGGTCAGTGTCCGTGAGAGATCAGCAGAATAAGATGCTCAGGAAGACCCTGAGTCAGGGAGATAACGACAAAAGGGTCTACTGGGAGGACTCATCTCACCAAGGTCCCAGACTGCCCATGTTTGCTTTAACCTGGACGATGAGAGAGTTGCACCAGGCATCCCACGTGCTGTCTTCTTCTGCCTTGACCCCCAGCCTAGTTTTACAGGTATTGATTTCTTTGACTTCATAGTACATATAAACTTCTCACTATCTGAAAGTTTCCACTGAGTTAATTGGTTTGTTTCAGTACTGTTTGTCTTTCCATCTAGAATGTACACTCATAGCATCAGAGGCCTTATCTATTCTGTCCAGCGCTCTAAGCCCAGTCCTAGACAGGAGCCCTCATAGACTGGGAGCAACGAATATATGTGGAAAGCACACCAATGTCTGTCTAACATAATAAATATTACATAGTATGTAACATGATATATGCATATATAATTTCTGAGCAAGTAGCCGTCTCTGTGTCCACTACAAATTCTCATTGCAAATACACACACAGATATATGTATATCCACACATCCGATGGGCACACTTTACACACAAATTCAGAACTATATTTTAAGATCTGCCATTGGACATCTATCCCAGTGAGGTAAAAACCAAATACCTAAAACTAACACATTTTGGCTTTGTTTTGTGTTTGCGAAACGGTCTCTCTCTAAGTAACAACGTCTGCCCTGGAACCCAGTATGTAGACCAGGCTGCCCTGGACATAGAAATCTGCCTGTCACTGGGCTGGGACTAAAATCATACACTGCTATGCCCAGCTACAAAAGAACCCATTGAGAGAGAGAGAGAGAGAGAGAGAGAGAGAGAGAGAGAGAGAGAGAGGAGAGATACAATGTATGTGGAAGGCACAGGAGAGTAACAGTAGCAGGTATTAAACTGAAATGAAGGCCATGCCCAAAGCCTTCTGTACAGAGGATCCAAGTAAACCCCAGAGGTACCTTGACTTTCATTTGCGACACAGATAGCTGAACTGGAGCTATTTCTTGTAGATGACTGCATTGGGGCTGAGATTACAGTTCATGATAGCTTGAAGCTTTGAATTCAATTCCCAGTAGCTCAAAAGTAATAAATAAATGGCTATTTTTGTATTAAAGAAAGATAATCAGAAAAAGCTAACATAATTACATAGCTGGGAGATTCCCAATGGAATAGACCAAATGAGACAATTTTACAGCTGCTGCCAGGTGACTGTCCCCCAACCCCTTCTCTTTTTACTGCTGTATGCTCATACTTTCCTCTGTAGTTCCTTAGTTCAGCTCCTGAATCAGTTCTTGTGAGTTACCTGAGTCATAAATCTTTGTTTGCCAAATCAACTAAAAATACCAATGTGCCCCTAGTTGACCCCTTTTCTCAATCTGAGTATTACTTTCAAACACAAGAATGCTTAGTAAGAGAAAACTTTAAACAGAAGAACCATCTATCTCTTTTGAGAGATGTTCTCTCACTCATCTGGACCTCAAGGATCGGCCTGGCTCCTCCTTCTTTACAATGGGGTTACAAGTAGATATTGCCATACTCAGCACTTTTTTATGTAGGTTCTGAGGATTGAACTCTGATCCTCTAGCTTGCCAGGCAAGCACTTTACTGACTGAGCTATCTCTCCTGCCACCTTGTATAAACACAATTTCACCACTTAAATGTGGGAGTTGCAAAAGGAAAAACAAACCTCAGCATAAGACAGGGTTTCTTAGTCTTAGCCTCACCACTGTGCTATGATGGTGCTGGAAAACCTTTCTTGGGAGGAATGGAAGGAATTGTCTAGATCATCACAGGACATTTAACAGCCTTTACCTCCACCCAATAGATGGCAGTGCCCCTCGACTGACCCCAATTGTGACACCTAAAAATGACCCCAGACCTAGGGAAAAATACCTTGGAAGCAGGTATTACTATCACTTCTAGTTGAGAAACCCTTTGAAAAAATAAAAAATTTATTCATACCCTAAGAAAAAAGATGTAAATAACAATATATTTAGACTTAAAAACAATCAAACTCCAAAATTATCAACTTTCTCCTTGTTCTGGACAATATATTAAATTACTCCATAAACAGTGTGCTTTAAACTTATAGGAGGAATTGATGCTTTCGTAAGTAAGTACATTAGAGGAGATTTGGGGGTTACAGCTGCTTGGAACAGAGAGAGTGTGGTATGCTCTGCTTTACTGTCCACACTTTTTACGTCTTTAAATACATCTTTAAAGGGAGAACTTGGATCATTGGCTGTTATGGGTAATGAATGTAGGCAGAAGGACCCACAGAAGTCTGGACAAACTGAGAGACAAAGTCAGGAAGAGGAATGACCACGATGTGACAGTGTAGGAAGATGAAACCATGGTTTCATAGAATCTGGAAAGGTTTTGTTTGTCTATATGAATATATGCATATATTTGTAGTTGGCCTTTTGCATCTGAGGATTTAACTAAGTATGAGTCAAAAATATTTGACATAAATCTTTGTGCTGAGCATGTGTAGGCTTTTTTGGGGTCACCATTCCCGAAATAATACAGCTTAACAATGATTTGTCCAACATTTATATTGCATTTCTTGGGTGTTATGAATAACCTGACATGATTTAAAGAACACAGGAAAATGTACAAAGGTTACATCTAAATACTATAATATTTTATATGAGATTTAGACTTCTGTGGCAGCTTAAGGGAAATCTTGGAGCCAATCTATGAACACCAAGGGACAAGTGTATATGCAATATATAAAGATATACACATAAACATATACCTGTACGTATACATTAATATATGCATAAGTGATTTCAAATGGATGATGGCTGGAGAAAGAAGCAGGAAACACAGGTACTTGATGGTAGAAATGAATAAAACCTTTTAATTTTTGTAGAAAATTCCCTGATAGAAATTCTTGAAGGGAAAAGCAACTAAACTTACTTTACACCGTATCTGAGAAAGGAGGACCAGACAATGAGAACAAGGAAGACCAAATCTGGATCTTCAGGAGGCAGAAACTTATACACGATGAAGCAGGGGTAACGTCATCAGGTGTGGACCACCCAGCTAGAGCTCCATGTCTCAGTGACTGGGCATTCATAGGTATTACCTCAATGAATGGGATTCTGGGATAAGTGACTATAAGACACCCACAACAAAGACTATCAGTGGCCACCTGAAAAGTAAAAGTGTTTTTACAAAAAAAGTAAAAAACCCCATGGAAAAGGTATTCCTCTTGAGAAGTCACAGATTCAAATCTAGTCTGGCCACTAAAGTAGCGGAAGGCAAAGCCGCTTACTTCAGGCTTGGGATCGTCAGCTCTATGTTGAACTTCTCAGCCACATGTATCTCCCAGATGCACTCTGTGTCCGTGGGGTAGTTAGTAGGATACCAAGGACTGGAGAAGGAGCCTGAGAGACTTGAAATTACTCCTCCACAGGAGTGACTTCCTTCTGTGAAAGCAAACGAGAGACTTGTGGTAGGTGTCTTCAGGAATGTTCTTGACATTTTCCCAGGTGTGAGAGCTAGAACTGCATCAGATTCTACAGTGGGAATCACAGAACAGGAAGTGGTGTAGCTGATCTGGATAACCGCAGTTTGACTGGCATGTGTCGATCTAAGAGGAGCGTGGGAGGATGAAATCTATACGATTGGTGACCAGGACGCTGAAACTGATTGAAAGCGATGCTAGATGCATTGATGTACATTGAGGGCAGGTGGGCAGCATCCAAGTTACACTTTTGTGTGTATGTCTGTATAGGTGCATGTACATATGTATGCATGGGGTGGGCAGAGGCCAACCTTATGTTATTTCTCAGGTGCTACCCACCTTGTTTTTTTGAGACACAGTCTCTTGTTGGCCCTGGAATTCACTGGTTAAGTTAGGCTGGCTTTCCAAGGAGCACCCCAAATCCACCTATTTTTGTCACTCTCATGTTGGTATTTGAAGCACACAGCACTATGCTTAGTTTTATTTATTCATTTTTTTTAATGTGGGTTCCTGGGCTAAAACTTAGGTCCTTCTATTTGCAAGACAAGTATTTTACCAGAGGTCCACAGAGGAGCCTCAGAAGGTTTGCTTTCTTAGCAGCACTGCATTCTTGTCCCACTGGGAAGGTTTGCTATGGAATGAATCTTAGTTTTCCTGTTTGCTTATACTTCTTTTTTTTTTTTTTTTTTGGTTTTTTCGAGACAGGGTTTCTCTGTGTAGCCCTGGCTGTCCTGGAACTCACTCTGTAGACCAGGCTGGCCTCGAACTCTCGAACTCAGAGATCCACCTGCCTCTGCCTCCCAAGTGCTGGGATTAAAGGCGTGCGCCACCACCGCCCGGCTTGCTTATACTTCTTAACCCACGTCTCCATATCCACCTTTTCTCTCCTCCACATACCAACTCAGTCCTCAGCCACAATGGCCTTGCTTCTCCTCCCCCTTGTGCCCTTCCTTGCTCTGACACCACAGAGGATGGTTTGAGATCTAGTTCCATTTGGGAAATGTCACACCCAGTTCTTGTCTGAGCTACCGTTTTATTTTATTGCAATGAGTTATGATGTGGCATCTCCAAATATATGTACCGTTGCATCCAGCTTTTGCTATTCCTCTCCCACACTGTGCTTCTTCACCCACTTCCTCCTGGTTCTTTCTCTCCAGTTAGTTCCCTTGTCTACACTTCTATTACATAAATTATACTGCTCTCTATTTCTTGCCCACTTTAAAACGTCATCCCCCCATAACCCTCTTTTTACTTTCACAGCTTATGATGTACACACATAAACACACACACATGTATATACATCTTTTCCAACTACACATCTCACAGGGGATCAATGTGCAAGGTATATAAAGAGTCACTAGTTTTTAAATTTCTGCTGCACAATTACAGTCACATGAGAGCTCAGTTATTACTGGCAACCAAGGGTGGTCCTGGAGATTCTAATGTGACCAGTCTTGGGAACAGTGGAGAGGTACTGGGAATCTCAGAAGCTTCCATTGTGCAGCCAGAATTGGAAATCACTGCTCTGGTCACTGTCCATCATGTCTAGGTCAGGATACAGATTATTCACCTTTGAAGAGATGGAATTTACAGTGTTGGACTTACCTGTCGGAGAAGGAGTCACCTCTGCATCTGCATGGATGGGAAATACATGGGTTTAGGGAATTTAAATTAAGTTCTATGAACAAAAAAAAAAGTCATTCTTTTTCTAATGTGAGCATGTCTCCCTGGGAGAGCAGCATCACATCTGGGGATGTTCAGACAATAGGAAAAGCCAACAAAGTGTCCCTGGGCATCTGTTTTCAAACAAGTTGTACTCGGCATTCCCTGCCTTTCTTGCTAAGGGAGAGTTGCTCTTGTCAATTTACCAGGTCTAGAATAACCCAGGAGGCAAACCTCTGTGCTTTTCTAGGGAGTTTCCAGATTAGGCTACTGAGGTGGAAAGAGCCACTATAAATATAGCTAGCACCACTGCATGGGCTTGGGTCCCAAACTGAATGAAAAGCGAGTTCACTGCCAGCATCCATCTCTCTCTGCTTCCTGGATTCAATTCACTATGACCAGCTGCCTCAAGCTCTGTCGTCCATGACTTCTCTGCCAGAGCAGACTGCACCTGAACCATGAATCAAACCCTTCCTTTGGTAAGTTGCCTTTGTCAGGTACTATGTTTACAGCTATGAGAGAAGTAGCTAACATGGCCATTTTCAATAGAGTCACACCCCTGCTCTGTTGAGGGCTTCTATCCATCACTAAGATGCCTCGTAGAAAGAACCCATTATAGGAGGCAGAATACCTGAGCAGATAACTCCAGCATCCTCATGATGGCCACAGTTGTGATCTAACCAGGCAGAGCTGGAACACTGGCCAAAGTGGTTTTCCTTTCCTGAGCACTGAATGTTGTCCAAAAGGATGTTTCCAGAGCCTGGACCAAAGTAGGCACTTCCAGGAGCAGCAATGGCATGACCACACCCCAGCTGTCTGCATACAACCTCAGCTTCATTCATGTCCCACAGGTCATCACACACGGTGCCCCAGGCCCCCTGGTGGAGGATCTCCACACGTCCTGAGCACTGTCCAGAGCTGCCTGCCAACCGTAGCACTGGTCTTTCTTCTAAACAGAGGAAGATTTCAGTTTTGAGCATGGGGAAGTTTCTGTAGAAAGTAACATTGGATGGAGTTCTGGGACTCTTATGGAAGAGTTGGGGGAAGGACTGAGGACTCTGAAGGGGATAGGAATAACAACAGAGTCAACTAACCTGATCCCTTGAAGGCTCTCAGAGACTGAATCACCAGCCAAAGAACATACATGGACTGGACCTAAGCCCCCTACACATATGTAGCAGATATGCAGCTCGGTCTTCATGTGGGTCTCCCAACAACTGGAGTGGGAGCTGTCCACTAAAACTGTTGCCTGTTGGTGGATCCCATTTCCTTAAATGGGCTGCCCTGTCTGGTCTCATTGGGAGAGGACGTACCTAGCCCTGCAGAGATTTGATGTGTCAGAGTGTGGGGTGGGGGATACCCAGGGGAGCCTCCACCCTCTCAGAGGAGATGGGAAGGAGGAATGGGGAAGGGAGTGTGTGAGGGGGGAAACCAAGGGGAGGGCAGTGAGGTGGGTGGTTATATGGAAGAGGTTGGAAGGAGGAAAGGAAAGGAGAAATGTGATTATATTATAACCCTCAAGATAAAAAAAATAGAAGAGAGAGAGAGAGAGAGAGAGAGAGAGAGAGAGAGAGAGATCCAGATAAGTAGTTGTTTTCCTTTCCTGAACACTGAATGTTGTCCAGAAGTGTTTCCAGAGCCTGGACCAAAATAGGCACTTCTAGGAGCAGCAATGGAAGAAAGACCATGGCCAAGGTCATCACAAATGCAAACCCTTGAGGTTGTCTTGATTCCACATGGTTTTAGAGTAAGACAGAAACTAAGGTTGAATCTCATTCTATTGCCCCCTACATGACAATTACTTCACCTCTCTGAGCTGTTTTCTCATTTGTAAAATCTATCAAGTGTTTATCATAGAGGCTCTCGGGATCAATTAGGGAGAGCCCACATATAAGATACAGAGATCACACCCAGAAAGAAATTTCTTTCTTCAGAGACAAACAAACCCAAACTTCAGGCAGAAACTTACTACTTGTCTGGTTTTCTGGCAGTCTCAAAGAATTACTGGAGTTCCTGCAGGGGGAACCTAAACATCAGCCATCTCACAACTGACAGGCAGTGCTCCTTGCAGGGTACAAATTGAATATAGCTCTGCAATGACTGTCTACAAGGCCAAGGCTAACAGGAATCCCCAAGCCTCCAGTCAGAGTGCACATATGGTTTAAGGCATGCTACATGTGAGTTGAGTCAACAGGTAAAGGGGGAGCGGGCATAAAATCTCCAGGAGTGTTGGGCTTCCATGTTTCAGAACTCTGGACAGTTCCCAGTGTGCTTGTGATAGCAAATGTAGCCTGAAGACCATTCCTTGAGCATAGTTTTCCATGGAAGCTGCCTGGCCTTTTATAAGTACCCTTTGCATCATTTGTGCAGGATGTATGTTACCATCTTACTGTTGTTTGCTACTGGGCCCTCATGATGAGAAAATCTATCCCCTTGTGATGCTACCAACTCTAGCAGGTGTGTATGTGTGGGGTGTGTGTGTGTGTGTGTGTGTGTGTTTGGGGGTGTAGGTTAAAACTGAACTAGGCTTTTGTGATTAGGAGTGTCAAGTCAGAAATTGTTCTCTATTAACTCTCCAAGGTTACCCGAAGCTTCCTACCTGACTCCCTTCCGTCTTGTGGAATTGCATTGAAGAAAGCATAAAAGCCAGTGTTTGTTGTCATATAATCACTGCGGAACACCACTGTCAAGATGTCTGAGGAGGAGAAAAATACCACAGCTGATGGGGCACAAAATTTTCCCATGGAGAGTGATGCAATTCTGGGGCCATCAAAGATTTCAATTGAGTCATAGGGACATCCAAGGATATCTTCCAGGCTGGGTGGGAGATGAAAGCTGGGTATTAGTGGCACAGTACTGACATCCTCAGTATCAATGCCCCGAAATGTGACAATATCAGAACATGAAGTATTCATTAGTCTTTCTCAAATGCTTTATCAGGATTCTATTTTCTTTGCCTAGGTAATATATGAAGTTTTTAAATACAACTTTATCGTGATTTTTAAAATCATAGTGATTCTAACCAGCCACAAAGATACTGTTTGTTAGGAATTTGTGATTGCTGTTTGTTTGGGTTTAAAGCAAGTCTGAACAGCCTTGACACAGTCTCGATTGAACCATGAGTTGGTGCCTGGCTGAGGCTGGTTTGTCATGGAATCTCATGGTCTTGGTCCGCTGCAGCACGTGTACCATGTCGGAGAAGAAAGGCCTTGTGAAGTTTTTTGTGGAAGAAAAGTTTTGGTGAGGAACTGGAGCTTTGACATCAGACAGATCAGCATCTGTTGTCAATGGGCAAGCTAATTATTCTCCATGGTCTCATTCTCCTCGTATCTAATGAGGATGGTAAAGACATTTGTAGGTTATAAAGATGCTGGAGCATGACAAAGCCTAGAAGCATATAACCCAGGGTCTATAGAGATAGCTCAGTAAGTAAAGTGCTTGTCATTAAACCCAAGTTTAGTCCCCAGAACCCATGTGAAAATTCTGGTTATGGTGGCCTAGCTACTTCAAGAGCCCAAGGCCAATGAGCAACCTCTCTTGAAAAGCAAGGTGAATAGTGCCTGAATGACACCTGAAATGACCCTTGACCTCCATGTGAACATAGGTGTAGAAGAATCATGTAATCCAGGGTATAGACACACAGTCAACATTCTAAAACATCAGCTATGACTTTCTGGCATGGCCATGAGAGGGTGGCAGTAACTACTGGACATTGTCCTCTTTGTGTCAGAGGAAAGGCAATGGCTATTCTATCACCTTTCACTTTGGGAAACATTTAAAAAATGTGTACCCAAGCCTTGAATAGTTGACCAACATGTCTAAGGAGTCTCCTAAAGTCTATATAAAATATAGACAAGCAAAAGGCTAGCCTGAATGGAGATATAGTGGTGCTTAGTGTATAAGTTCAGTGGTTTTGAGCATTTAGGGAATATATTTTGTCCTCTGAGAGGCTTTACCAGAAGCTGACTGAGACAGATGCAGATACCTATAGTCAACCATTGGACTGAGGTCAGGGACCCCTATGGAAGAGTTCGGGGAGGGACTGAAGGAGCTGAAGGGGATGGCAACCCCATAGGAAGAACAACAGTATCAACTAACCCAGATCCCTCAGAGCTCCCAGAGACTAAGCTACCAACCAAAGAGCATACATGTGCTGGTCCATGGGCCCCACTACCTATGTAGCAAAAGACTGCCTTGTCTGGGCTCAGTGGGAAAGGATGCACTTAATCCTGTAGAAACTTAATTCTCCAGGGAAGGAGAATGCTAGCGGGGTAAGGTGGGAGTGGGTGGGTAGGGAAGCACCCTCCCAGAAGCAAAGGGAAGAGAGGATGGGGTGAAGAACTCATGGTAGGGGGAACAGGAAGTGGGCAGCATTTGGAATGTAAATAAATAAAATATCGATAAAAATAATAAATCCAGATAAGATTAAAAAAATAAAAAATTAGAAGTCAAATTTCCAAAGCTGAGCTGTGTCAAAAACATTGATAAATGGCTTGCTGCATTTTTCTAGCTAGAGATAACTATTAGTGCTACAAAATTAATTCAGAGTTGAACTTGGGGATGCTCCTATGTGTGTGCTCTTATGCTTTTTTGATCAGTAAAGAAAATGTCTTTACCACAGCTAAGCAAAGCAATATTCTTATCCAGATTGAACCCTCTCTTTAAAACTAGTTTCTTACTTCAAATTTGGAATCATGAGCTCTATTCGAAAATTTTTCTCCACATGGATCTCCCAAACACATTGTATGTCTGTTGGATAGTTTTCTGGGTACTGTGGACTCGTAAATGAACCAGAGAGGCTGGAAATGACTCCTCCGCAAGAGTTTCTTCCTCCTGAAATAAGGAAAAGCATGTCATGTTGCAGCCACATGGTGTCATTGAGTGATCTTAGGAATGACCAGCTCACAGACAGTGTGATCAGGACAGACAAGTCAAGTGTGATCATGTGGCTGTTGTCCCTGGTGAGCTGAAACCATTCAATCTAATTCTGATGGCTCAAAGGTATCTCCACGTGAGAATTCCCTGTCTTCCCCTTTGCTCCAACCACCTGCAAAGAGATGTTCAACTTATATGCTATGCTTACCACATCTCTCTTTCCAAAGGGAAGGAATCTTTGCTTGCTAGGAGAAAGATAAGGCTCTGGATTATCAGAGATAGGGAAAGACTATCACAGAGACAGGCTATCTGGCTTGTATATGGGGAAGCACTTTGAGACGGTTTGTGAAGCAAGAGTGGCAAACAACTTCATTGTCCAATGGGTCAAGGAAGGAAACAGATCATGGGCACAGCTGATAGCCTATGACTGAGACCACCTCTCAGTACATAGTAAAGCACTTTGTTGGATCATGTTCGCTTATTTTAACGCAGTGTGTTCAGAATGGAACTTGTAGATTTGGGGATTTATGAAAGTTAAACAAGACAAAGATCTAGTTCTTCCATAGTCATTGTAATTTTAGCATGAAAAGATATAGCCCTACACAGGTATACAAGGCAGCTTGCTGCCTAAAAAAGTAGATAACAAATTAATCTGGTTATTTTGAAAGCACAATATACTTCACTTGAATGTAAATTTTATGAAGATGCTTGATTTTTCTTCTTTTCACCTCAATGACACCTAGTAATCCTCCTAGGCTCCCACAGTTTTCTAATCTTTCCTAAGATGGATCTTTGAGCTGGTTCGAGACATCCTACACCTCTGCCACTGATTATATTCTGGGATGGGAGAAAGCTAGAATCATATCCAAGGTATTGCACAAGTGCTTTCCACCAGAGCCCATTCCCCAGTCCTTTTTGTAGAGACAAAGTCTTATTATGTAGCCAAGAATGGCCTTGAACTCAAACCCTCCTGCCTGTACCTCTCAAGTAACAAGATGACAGCTGTATGCCACCACACTCCACACTCCATTGATCACCTCTATAGGTTATAATAATAGGGTCAAGACACACATGTGTGATAGGAGATGAAAAAAAAGGTGTCTATGAGCATCCACTCCAGGGCTGTGCTTAAACAAGGCAGGCTGAGTGTGGGTGAGATGCACTGCAGAACTACATCTACTAACCTGTTGACTTCTTGTCTACTTTATCCTGGGAAGAACCACAGCCTTCCTTTCCCTCATGCTCCTCCTAATACATAGTCACCATTTACAGAATGGCAGCAGAGAAGTAAGCCCCGCACCCACATGCCAGTGACTCCGTTGTGCTATATTCCTGGATGTTGCCTGGAACCTGCTGACATGGAGTTACCATGTCATAAAGAAGTGACTACCTGTTATTGGATCCTGAGAAGTTGGAGGAGGACCTGGAAGGGAAAAAAGAAGATAATAATGACATCTGGGGGAAATCTTTGGTCTCATCTACAAGATAGTGCATGGTGAATGGTTTCCTTGAAGACATCAATGTATTTGGTGCCAACTTAGAAGAGTCTGAAGCTGCTAAGTGAACATTCTCTATAGTTATATGGCAGATCAAAGCCAGCCAGCAATACTTGGACATGCCTCTTATCACCAGATGAGGAGTAGGCTCCCTCCCTTGAACCTGAGTGGGCTCTGTAATTGCTTTGAATAGAATATGGCAGAAGCCATGCTATGTCTTAAGGGACTACTGACATATACTTCCTGTTTCTGAGCCTAGGGATTACTTATACAGCTTCACACCATTCCATCCCTTAAAGAGACTGGATGAAGAAGCCCTGAGACTCCCTGGAAAGGAAGAGGGCTCACTTTTGCAGTTGCACTTGCGAAGGCACCAATGATGTATATGAAGCTATCCTGAGCTCTCCAAACTAGAACACAGGTAAATCACACTGAAACCTGAGCTTGATGCTCTGAGGAGCAGAAGAATCTCCCAGCTGATCCCTGCCCAAGTCCTTGACACACAAGACTATGGCATGTATTGGAATGTAGCTGTCTTAAACCATTAAGTTTTGAGGACACAATGGATAACCAGAATGGATTTTACTTTATTTCTTTATCACCTATACAATTCCCGTGCAAAATGAGCAAACTACAGACAACACTTCATTGAATAGCTACTGTTGGAGATTTAGCTCAGTGGTAGGGTACTTGCCTGGCAAGTGCAAGGCCCTGGGTTCAGTCCTCTGGTCTGAGAAATTTGACCTTAATTGTGGCTTTGTAGCTTTAGGCATCACTTCTTTTCTCAGTAATGACCTCAACACATAAGCTCCCTTGCCTCAGACACCCAACACTCATCAAGATCTCCTCCAGGCAAATTCCAAGAGAGGTGTTTCTTTCAATGACTTGTGACTTGTGTGCTTCTTGCAGCTGGAGAGATAATCCAGGCACATTCAAAGGGTAAATTCCAACTTTCTCTCAAGATAAATCTTACAAGATATGTCTCCTGCTGGGGAGAAATGTGAGAAGTCCTGGGAGAGCAGAGAAAGGAAGAGGTGCTTTCTCTAAGCTGTCCCTGATAGAGGGAGTGTGGGCAGGCTTTGGACCTCCCTTATCCTCAACCGTAGGGATTAAGTAATTAATGAATCAAGGATCCTTGCATTGTATCTTTGTTTGTACATTGCATTGTACCAGTGTTTTGGGCAGAGCTTGTAATGAAAAGAAATATATCTTCATTCACCTCCAATATCATTCTAGAATTTATAGTATTAGTCTGATTCTTCTAATACCTCTCTGACTCTCATATATATATATATATATGTGTGTGTGTGTGTGTGTGTGTATGATTATTTAAGATTACTTACTACTACATAAGGTAATATAAAGTAATATACTTTACTAATATAAAGTAATATTATATATTACTATTATATATTACTTACTATTATAATATATAATGTATGTATATATTTTCAGTATAAAAACTTAGTTCTCCCATTAATTTGTTTAATGATCAAAACTGCTTAACCTTTCTTAAATCTTCTTTCTAAAAACATAGCATGAAACTTAGTTCTCCCATTAATTTGTTTAATGATCAAAACTGCTTAACCTTTCTTAAATCTTCTTTCTAAAAACATAGCATGTGTGACTTTTAAGGAATTTTCGTGGTGATGAACAATAGCCTGAGCAAACTGTCCCCTCATTTTTACTATAGCATTGTCTGATCCGGGTGTCCTGGGCCAATGTGTGTGGCAAGTGACTAGAGGTCAAGTGTACTGGGAGTTTGGCCCATATCCCTTGGATAGCCAAAAAGTGCCTTGCTAACTTTTATGTATCTGTTTATCTGAAAAACATAAATAATCAAAATATCTTCCTTGAGGGAATTAAGAGCTGGAGGATGTCCCTGATTTATGAAGATTTGACATATGGGTTTTCAAGTAGGAGAAACCGTCCTTCAAATTTTGAATGTGGATGTTTTCCTTGGGTCACATATGTGGTCTGGTCCTCCCTTGGGATGCTGGGCCTCAGCAGTGAGCTCCTGGGCACCACAGAGAGTGAGAATGACAGGTGCTCTGTGCACTGTTGCTGAGCCGAGGCATTCAGAAGGTTAGCTATGTGGAATGCAGTCTTTGACTTATGGTAGTTTTATAGTGGGCTTTCTGAGATATAACTCCATCATAAGTTGAGAAGAGCCCATCTATACATGTACAAAGAGCTCAGAATGTCTGGCTCTTAGCATTTTTTAAAAGGTATTTGGTACTGTTTTCACAGTTGTTCTTCCTGAGTGGGAAGTTTCCTTAACTAGGAGAGCAGTGGACATACCTGGCGGCACAGGTGGAGGAGGGGCATCTGAATCTGTATACAGAAAGAGAAACGACAGGTCATTCTCTCTGATGAGATCAAAGGATGGAAGGTGAGGTGACACGAGGGGGATGGTGAGTAAGAGGGACAGACTCATGACCTTTCTGGGTACAGAAATCAGCTCCTAGAACCATCAATTGGACACCCTCATCTAAGGTGAGTTATTGGCTTAGAAAACTTAGCCCAGCCACTAGGTAGGCTGTGTCTCATGGTGGGTAGAGCTAGGCTACTCGTGGTACCCCTATGCTGAATTCCTGGGGACTCTCAAAGTGCAGGCTCCTGGATTCCTTCCCAAACCTACTCAGTGATAGTTTCTTAAGAGAGTAACCCTGGAATCTTTACTGCAGTGCCCTAGAGTAGTGCCCGTAGATATCCTAGACTTCCCATAACCGCCAAGAGCTACTCATGACAGGGTAAGTGTCTGTACCCAGGACCTGATCCTGAAGAGTTGCTTAAAGAATCAAATGGGTGGATGGAAAATTTCACCCATAAAGGATAGTTTCAAAATTCCTTCCGTTGCATAGGAAGAGAGTGAATACCTGAGCAGATAACACCAGCATCCTCATGGTGGCCACAGTTGTGTTCAGACCATCCCGAATGTGGACACTGGCCAAGATAATGTTCCATTCCAGAACACTGAAGGTTGTCTAGGAAGATGTCTCCTGACCCTGGGCCAAAATAAGCCTCACCAAGACTAGAAACGGCCTGACCACACTCTAGCTGGCGGCACACGACCTCAGCTTCATTAGAACCCCACAGGTCGTCACACACGGTGCCCCAGACTCCCTGGTGGAGGATCTCCACTCGTCCTGAGCACCGACTGGAGCCACCCACTAGGCGAAGCTCTGGCCAGTCTCCTGGAGAGAGAGAGAGAGAGAGAGAGAGAGAGAGAGAGAGAGAGAGAGAGAGAGAGAGAGAGAGAAAGAGGTGGTATGAGTCCTCACACCCCAATACCTTGCCTGGAATCCTGCAGTACTAGGCTCAGAGGAAGGCTGGGTAGAGCCTTGGGCATTCATTCATCTTCATATTTACCATGGATTTCTGAGCTGCAGTTTGTGGGGATTGCAGCAAATTTTATTTCAGCAGACTTTTTTGTTTCCCGTGTTAGCCACGGATGGTAGAACCATAGACCCTTAGTGAATCTGAGTCTATTTACTTGTGAAATATAAACACAGTTCAATGTACAGTTCCATACTGTGATAAATACAACAAAAGCAAAGACAGGACATTAGGGGATAAGGGCAGAGAGGAGACCCTGGCAGACACCCTTTAGAAATGTGACAAGGAGCTAGTAAGTAGAAGAGCCAACAAAACAAAACAAAACAACCAAACAAAAGCAAACCAACAAAAACAAAACAAAAACAAAAACCCCCAAAACCAAAACCCAAAAAACCAAAAAACATAAAACAAAAACCATCCTTTGGACCAGAGAGAAGAGTACAGGCAAGGAGCCCTAAGGAGCCGTGTCACTTTGGTATGTGTCACACCAACCCCAGTAGAATCTGTGTGACAAGTTCCACAGACCGAGGCGAAAACTTCAAAAGAAGGAGGCCTCCTGGGACCGGTTGTGGAACTCTTGCCAGGAACAAAACATTGAGTTGTAGTTCTCACGGCAACTTATCCGTTTTAGTTTCTCTTATTCCTTTTCTTATTTACAACATGTTCCTGATAGCCTACACCAAGATCTTAAGCAAAGAAAATGGGCAAGAGATCATCCCTTGAGATGGGGTCACTAACATGACCTTGCCTCCAGGGAAACTGACTTTATAATCATTTACAAAGCTACATAATAGTATTGTGATTAAAAAAAATGTTTCCAAGAATAAAATTTCATATGGCTACATGTGTGTCATCAGAGGAGGGCTTTGGTATATGGTAAAGAAAGCTTTAAATAAAAGGAATTAAAAGAGTTTAAATTTGCACATTGAAGATTTATAAAAAATCAGATATTAGATGTTAAATAATAGTTGATTATAAAGATTAATTTACCTGCTCTTGGAGATCTGCCACCAGCCTTGGATGACTGCCCCACTGAATACATCTTTTTAGAGTCGTAATACTTGAATGCTTTTTATTGTGTTAAATAACATTAATGATGTTACCTGTTCTGTTTGTGATTTATTGAATATATCTTTTTAGGGTTGATATGCTTGGACGATTCTTGTGCTTTGATGATTGCTTTCCTGTATACATCTCCTAGGAGCTGCAATATTTGTTTTTTTCTATGTATAAGCACCCTTGCTTGAGAGCTGAAAAATACATTCAGATTCAAACTGCCTCTGTGTTTGTTTCTGTTTGTCACCACCAAATCCTTACCCACCTAGCTTTCGAGGACCCTCATCCCAGGGACTCCCATATCCGTCTGGGGTGATCCGTGGCAGGTATGTACCTTTTCTCTTGGTGTTATGCCAGTGAGGAAAATGACCAAGTATGTAGCCTATTTTTTTTAGATAATACATGAATACTTTACAAACGATGGATATAAATATGAACACGCATGCATACACACACAAAACATCACATGTGAAAAACCGAAAAGAATCCCAGACAGACTTTCCCATGGCATTCCGTAACAGTTTTTGCAGCCTGAAGGAGTGAACTCAGAGGTGAAAGACCAAACAGCCCAGAGATAAAGTCAAAGGCAGCCAATACTTAACTTCCACCCGTAAAAGACACCACTGACCTGGAACATCAGACAGAGGTTTTTCAGCATCTGTAAGTAAGAAAAACAAATAGGTTGATATTGGGAGGAACTCCAGGTTTTAATAACAGAAGATAAAGTTTAATTATACTGTCATATGCATTGATTAATCACTTATCAATCCTTTTAAAGAACATGATACCAGAAAAATCAAATTTATCAATAGGTCTAAAATAAGCTTCTCTCTAGGGTGTTAGTTTATTACAGCAAAATGAGAAAATGGACAGATGTAGAATGTTGTGGTTTGAATAGTGTCTGCTCCCAGAAGCCTGAGCCTATTTACTGGTGAAATAGATACATTAGTAGCATGTATTGCTCTGTATGGGCAGCTCTGTGGACTGCAAGCCCATTCTATTGACAGTGACTGAGTTTTTTGGAGTTACATCTGCAATTGTACCTGTTTCCTTAAAGACATTGAATTGTCAGACAGGGCTAGCACTAGACATCCCAGAAGGAACCGATTTACTCACAACTACTCACACATAAATCAAGGCATTTTAAAAAAAATGACACAGGAAATTAAAATTAGTCATCTCCCAGAATTTCCTCTATGTTATGATTAAGGAGAATACTGAGACATACACTTCTTTGTTGGGTAGTAAGTCAGTGCTTTGTCAAAAACATCTTTGCTGCAAAAGAGCAGTTAGACTTCTAGTTTCCTAAGTGAAGATGAAGAGACTGGTGCTCTGAAAACATAGCTGCTGCACAGATGCAGTCTGGAAGTTCATAGCAGCTCTGAGAGCCAGGCCATGTGGCCCTGACCTTCCTGCAGCAGGCTGCTGCTTCCCTATTCAGATATATTCTTGGCATATTTCAGCAAAGCACACATTGCTAATGATTACTGCCAAATGAGAAACTTAGAGTACCTGAGCAGATGACACCGGCATCTTCATGGTGCCCACAGTTGTGGTCTGACCAGCCAGAATGAGCACACTGGCCCAGGAAGTGCTCCACCCCAGCACATTGGAGGTTATCTAGGAAGATATCTCCTGAACCAGGGCCAAAGTAGGCCTTGCCAAGGGCAGACACAGCCTGACCACACCCCAGCTGTCTGCACACGACCTCAGCTTCATTCAGGTCCCACAGGTCATCACACACAGTCCCCCAGACTCCCTGGTAGAGGATCTCCACACGCCCTGAGCATCGATTGGAGCCACCCACCAGCTGCAGCTCCGGCCAGTCCCCTGCAGACAGAGACCTGGTGACTGTTGTCATCTGAGAGCATGACAACTTTCCACGAGATGTTTGAGCTTCCCTCTCCTATATTCTATTAGATAAAGAAAACCTACTAGAGTCAGCCAACTAGTCAACCCCAGCTGGAGTGTGATAAGTCACAGGAGTTGTCAATAGCATTTAGGGTGTACAAAATCCACTGATTACTATCTGTTATGTCAGAAACATGCACAAATCTGTTTGGGTTAAATGCAGAAAAAAAATGAAACTTGTACAAAACTTTGTTATTTTGTGAGAAATTTTCAAGTGTCACTTTTATGATAGCTCAAGGTTATGGAGCAGGGTGTTGGCATGCCAACCTTATCTGTGAAGGAACTGAAAGTAGAAAAATCAAAAGGATTCCCCTGAACTCTACTCGTGGCAAACAGCGTGTCTATTTAAGGCCCTCCACACTCCCTGCTTCAGAAGTGCCTTATTCTTTTTCTGCTGGTCTAGTTCACTGCTCTGAGGCTCTGCCCATTTTGGAAAAATCAATTAGCGATTGAGATGGTGAGACTAATTATACCTGAGTCAGGCACAGGAAGAGGTGAGATGTTCCCACTGGGAGTATTTGAGAATTCTGAAAGGTACAAAAGCAAAACCAAGCAATAATAACAGCTATAACAACAAAACAACCTGTTTATTCAGGACGTAAGAGCTGGAAGACTGTAGGGGTTTGCAATGGCCCTAAGTCCTAGGGTAGAGTCAGTTGACCCATTTGCAAGCAAATGGACTGTATGTAGTTCTAGCATTCCACACACGAAGCAGGTACAGCAAGTACAGACATGGATGCTGAGAGAAAGAGACACTTGGTATTCAAATGGGTGCCTTCTGGGACTTACGTGGTCTTTCTGTTACCATCTTGGAAGTTTCTGTGGGAATAGCTGTGGAGACAAGATGAGGGTAGACTTAAGAAATCAAGGGCACCATCCTTAGATCAGTCTTCATTGAACACCCAGATCTCCCTTGATTCTCTCACCTTGTCACTTATATAATAAAATATGTCCTAAGCCAACGCCTCTCTTCACATGGGACGCATGTAGCCCAGAAGCATGGAAGCTGACTGAAATGACCCTCTGCCTCCTCACCAAATATAACTTAATTTATATTAAAATATTAATATTATATTAAAATAGTAAATATTATATTAAAATAATAAAATAAATAATAAACAATAAATTTATATTAAAATGCAAATACTAATACACATTTTTCCTGGGAGGAACCCTCCACCATTTTTTGACTTGTTTCTTGTGATGGCTAGTCTTAATTTTAACTGAATTTTCATTGTAGAGGTATATCTGCCTCTTCAGTTAGATTTATTCCTAGATATTTTATTTTTTAGAAGCTATTTTGAATGGAAATGTTTCCATGATCTCTTTTTCAGCATGTTTGTTATTGGTATATAAGATGGCTCAGTGGTTAAAAACAGTGGCTATTCTTCCAGAGGACCTGAGTTCAATTCCCAGCACCCACTTAGCAGCTGACAACAGTCTGAATTCCAGCTCCAAGTGATTTGACACCCTCACACAGACATACATGCAGGCAAAACACCAATCCACATAAAACAAAAATAAACCCTTTTTAAAGAGAAGTATATATATGATTTTCATAAGTTGATTTGGTATATGTCATTTCACTAAAAGTCTTGATCATTTCTAGAAGTTTCCTGTTGGCACTTTTGGATCCTTATGTTTGATGTCAAATTATCTGCAAATGGGGATAATTTGACTTCTTCCTTCACTATTTGTATCTCTGGAATCCTCTTCTCTTGTCTTATAGCTTTAATTAGTGCTTCAAGAAGTGGGGGAAATAGTGGACATCCTGTGAGGAGCCATCATAGGACAAGCTAATAACTAGCAGGTGATCTTCCTGAGATGGTCTGCTTTGAATTAATAAATAATCCATAACAGATTTGCTTCCATAGGCAAGGCCCAGGAGAAAATCATTTAGGAAAAATTCTTATTAATATGCTTTTCCTGTTATTATTATATATATATGACAATCACTAGGTATTAGCCCACACTTTTGAGCAGATCTCTGCAGAACTACAAAGATGTACTGTTTCTTAGTAATGCTATATAGACATATAGGTGAATTATTAATTCTTAATGATGATCCTATAAGAATTCCTAAAGTTATATCAGTGTTTATTAAGCTCTTTTATAGTGGTACTGCTATTAGGTCCTTTCTGATCATCAAAACTGCAAAATGAGAACTGTCAGTCTCCCATGTGTCACTATTAACTGCCTCTAGATAGTAACCAGACTTTCTACTACTCAGAGCACATCCCAAGAAGTTGTAAAAGGTCATAAAAAGGGAACTACAATCTATTACAGGTGCTTTGGCAGAAGATAAAATATTAACTTGTTTTATCTATACAGAACTTCACTTATAACTTAGTTATGGTTTTAAACTTTCTATGAACCTGTGGAGCTGTGACAGGTGATGAATGTTTAGCCAGATAATTACTCCTAATGGATATGCATGTAAACATTCTCTGTTGTAAAATTCTTATTCAATTATGATTTGAATTTATGTGTAAACTTGTGATGAACTTTTTACCATGTGATCATATATTCTTAAAGATGTATAAATGCTCAGGACAAAGAGAGGCTTGTGAATTCCCCTTGCCCCGCTTAGGATTTTTCCGGCTTTTCTCTCAACTAACTCGGACCCCTGAGGCCTCCCAGAGACTGAGCCACCAACCAGGCAACATACGTAGGATGGTCTGAGGTCCCTGGCAAATATACAGCAGAGGGCTGCGTGTTCATTTCTTTTATAATTTTATCTTCATGGAATTTTTTAAAATATAAGTTTTTTTATCATAATAGGTTTTTAAAAATGTACTTCCCTATATTATTCTGAATGTCATTGTTCTTTGTCATAATGGTTCCATGTTCATTTCTAATTCTATTAATTTGGATAATCTGCTTTCTTTTGGTTAGTTAAGCCAAGGGTCTATTGATTTTATTTATCATCTTGAAGAACCAGCTCTTAGATCTGTTGATTCTTTGTATTGTTTTATTTACTTCTATTTTATCAATTTCTGCTCTGATCTTTATTATTTCTAGGAGGCAAACCTCTGGGAGAATCTGTGAGGCCATTGACATAGAGCTTCAACTGAAGTGAGAAGGCACATCCTATGTGTGGGCATGGTCTTTGCATAGGTATGGTCCCAGGCCGATTAAAAAGCAGAAAGTGAGCAGAACACCTGTATTAACCTTTCTCTGCTTCCTGACTGTGGATGCCATTTGAGCTTTACTCACCACAACCAGAGCCACTGTGTGCCTTCCCAGGCATGGTAGGTTGCATTTCAAACTGTGAGCCAAAATGAACCTTCTTTCCTTAAGTTGCTTTTGTCAGGTATTTTGTAATTGTTTTTTAAACAAGGAAGATAACTGATATGCTTCTGCTGTATTAACTTTTTGAAGTGGAATATCTAATTAAGTATGTCTTACATTGGTTAAAAACAAGGAATTCAAAAATTAAATAGACAATTATCAACACAAAGTGACCTGGTGGTTGAGTAAATGTAACTTGGTTCCAATGTGACTAGGCATTAGGTTCATGCAGAAACCCTGCAGACAGATTGTCTCTGTCATCTGAGACTTGAACTAAGAACTGGGAAACAGGAGAGTGGGAGCAAAGGTTGACAGTAAATCACCAGGAAGGCTGGGCATTGCAGTGTACTCAGGAAACAGAGGCTGGTGGATCTCTGTGAGTTTGAGGCCAGCCTGGTCTATACAGTGAGTTTCAGGACATCCAGGGGTGCTTAGTAAGACCCCATCTCAAAAATAAATCATCAAGAGTAAGGGTAGAAGAAGAAACATGAACCAAAAATGGCATGCAGTGACTTGAGAGTTGACTCACTGATCAGATACGGGGTCTTTGTTGTCATCTCTGCAAAAACAAGAAAGCTACGATCAACAGATATATCATCCCGATTATGAAGACATATTTGACCCATTGTTTGGTACAGAGCATTTCCTCTGTCTTACAGCTTTCTCAGTGAGTTAGCCCATCGCTTACTAAAGGCCCTGGAGACTTTATTAACACCATCTTAGACAAAACAGATATGAGGCCTGACTGGTATTTATAGGTAGAGAGTAGTGTAGAACCCCAGGTAATTACTGAACCTCTGAGGCCTCCGTTTCCCCTTGTAAAAAGAGACGATCCATGGGTTTGTGCAAGTATAACACATTCAAGGAGCTTATCTGTGCTAGCAGACGGATGTTATTGTGAGTATTGGGCTCACATTGTTTTAATTGATCTTACTAACTTGTGCACACTGTGCTTTAACAGAGACCCTTGGCTTAGCTTTTGCCTTCCCAGCATGCATTGCATCTCATTTCCAACACTGATCTTACGCCTCATGAGTTCTCTTGCTGTTTCTCTATGAACAGCTTACCTAGTGTCTCAGGCAAAATCAAAATGGATCTCCCCTGGTGTTTTCCCTGGTGTTTGTAGTCTATAGTGGCCCTGTCTTTTCTACTGTCCCCTTTCGATGTGCACATGTGTCTCTGCAGCACATTCTAGTACACACACTATTTTATTGGTTTGCTTTAACTTAGTATATATTCCATTTATCCTCTAATTTTGTCTTGTATATTAATCTTGACCTCCTTATCGGTATGTACAAGCCTGAGAGGTCCTAGAGTGAATGTGTTTCCTTTCTCTGTCTATAACACTCATCTAGGACTAGAGTCAGGGTGTTATCAGAAATGACTCCCTAATGGCCCAGCTTCTGTTGTATGAATCCTCATGACAGATTGCCCATCAGTGAAGAGTCTTGTCCAAGATTACAGAACAAATGATGGCACATCACCAGGAAGTGCAGAGCTGTGACTCCACACCATCTTCTTACCTTTGGCTTCAAAATAATAATAAGCCATGAAGTTTTTCCCGATGTTGTTCTCGCCTCGGAAGTACACAAGGGTCATTGAGTTGGAGTGGCATGCAAAGGTGACATGCAACCCTCGGCAGGGTTTCCCCAGGGACTTCGTGGAGGATGGAGGGCCATCCAGGATTTCAAAATACTCATTGGTGCAGTCGAGGCTAGGGAAGCAAATATCATGAATACCTCTTAGTCTCTTCATCACAAGGTTAGGAGGTATTTTGTGAGTCCTGTTTTATGTTACAGAAGTAAAAATGCCGGGGACAAGCCCAAAGCCTGTCTGTGATGTAGACACAGTATGATCACTTTATCCTGTAATTTTCCTCTGAAAAATATTGTCTGAAAGGAATGGGACTTTTAGCAGATGGAAGAGGAAGAACACTGACTCTAGAGGACCCTGTTCAGGACCTGGGAGCTGCTGTGACCACAGGGTACTGCATAGTCTTGGGCCAACAGCTAATCAAGGTCATTTCACTATGTGATGTTTGAGAGAAAAAGTCTAAAATCAGCAATAGGGTCTGGTTGTTTGTGGGCCTGGTAATAGAATAGCTCTAGGTTCAAATCCACCCCACTTCCCACAGAGACAAGCTTTGACAGCTAGCCTGTCTATAGGGACGTGGGCTACAGACTTGTCCCATTGGGTTAGTGAAAGCCATCTGGCCTTGTCAGCTGCAGTGTTTCTCTGTGAATTTTCGTGTATCTGTCACCAGTGCTCAAAGCAGACGATGCCCTGTCACCAGCCCAACAGCTATCCATTTCAAACCATCCTTAAGTTAAGCACAATTCAAGATGCATAAATAATGTGGGGGTTTCTTGGAGTTATTTTTAGTATAACTTTAATCTATGAATAACTTCATCTTTATGCACTTGCAATACTAAAACCTTAAATTTCCTTAGATCTGTATCTTCTACCAGATAGCCAGAATACACAAAGTGTGTGTGTGTGTGTGTGTGGTGTGTGTGTGTCCCTCTCTCTTTGTCTCTCCTATCCAAAGCCTGTAAAGTGAATTTCTTTTGAATTAAAAATGCATGGAACTGTGAATATGACCAAAATATATTGTATACATATATAAAATTTTCAAATAGTATATGAAATAGTACATTAAAAAATAAAGCGATATATCTTGGAAAAATTCACCAACATGCAAAAAAGCATGCATATTTCCTTATACATATAGTGTATGTATAAAAAGTAAAACTGTAAAAAAGAAACTGTAAAAGCTACAGAATTCACAATCACTCTGGCAGCAGCAAAGATAAAGAGATATCTATATATACAAGCTTGTATAAAAAGAGGTAGTTCAAAATCCTACATACTACCTAGGGCTTGGAGAAGCCGGGTCATGTGTGTTGCTGGTGGGAAGATGACATGGCAGTCACCCTGGAAAAGCCTATCTGTTCTAAGAAGCTAACTGTGTGCTTACAATACAACTTAGCAGTCACACTCTTGGGTATTCAGCTCAGAAGAATGAACTTATCTGGATGTTCCCAGAAGCTTCATTTGCAACAGTTGAAGACTAGTGACGAGCCAGATGTTTCTCAAAAGGGAAAGGATTGACCAACTCTGGCACAGCCATATTAATGAAATCCTTTTCCACAGTCAACAGCAACAATCCCTGTGTGCTACAGCAACCTGAATCTTAGGGATCTTAGAGATATTGTGATGAGTAAAAGAAAGTCAACCCCCCAAACTACATGCTGCATGTAGTTTCACAGAACATTCACAGAACATTGTTGGAATGGCAACATACAGAGGTGAAGAATAAACCATAGTTAAGGAACAGAGATGGGCAATCCGAGGAGACAAAAGTGAAAGGGTAATTCCTTTGTGTGATGTACCTGGAATAGAGCAGTGATTTTGTGATGCCATTCACAGGGTTAAACTGTGCAGAACTTCCCACCCCCACCATCACACAAATAATTGCATGTAAAATTTGTTGAGAGTTGAGTACAGGTTTTGGTTCACTTACCAGTAACACCCCAATATCAATTTGTTGACTTTGATAATGTTCTACCACTTAGAGATTCTTGTGAGGGGCATACAGGCCATGTATTATTTTTGAAACTTCCTTTTGTCTTCAAAATAAAACATTTAAAAAGCACGAAGGACTCTTTTGCATATGAGGATCAGAGTAGGGATGAACAGTTAAAACACTGAACTGCACTGTATGCTTATACAGCATCACTTACTCAAGAGATGGAAATGCCAGCCGTATATGATCAGAGGTATTCGCTCTGATTTCCCACACACAGGTTATGTTGTCATGCATTTCGTTCATTGGGGGATTCTTAATTTTTCCAGGTGCATTGGTAAGGACTCCACCACACCGAGTTTTTTCTAGGAGAAAGAGGTTGTGACAACAAAACTGCACAAGTAAACCAGTCAACATGCCAATGTGGGTGGAAGAAGAGCTCACGGGAGTACCCGCTCCTAGCTGAAGAGCTATAGGCAGTCAATGGCTCCTGGGGAACAGTCAATTTTATTTAGGGATGAGGCTCCTGATAGGTTGTCCTTCCTTTAGTGATCAGTCCTAAACCCTTGTGCACATAGAAAACACTAACTGGGCTCAGATAGATAGATATATGGATGTATGGATGTATGATAGATAGATAGATAGATAGATAGATAGATAGATAGATAGATAGATAGATAGGGACATTGACTAAATTTTAGATGTGAATTGGGGGACCATAGGAGCAGTTAGAAGGGTGGAGGAGGATGGATATGGTACAACTACAATATACCCATTGTATAAACTTCTAAGAAAAGGCACTTTAAAGCTTTAGTTTGCATTGTTCGGTTTACTAATTTTATAATTTACACCTTTTTTCCTTTTCATTGTTTTCAAAAAGAGGTTTTACTGTCATTACTTTGTGGATGTGCCTTGGGATGTATTGAAGTTATAAAATGGTTTAAAATATCTTTCAAATGTAAGCTATTAGCATACATGTGTCTGAAGTTTGAAACAGCTCTCATCTTTATGGAGACTTGTAGTCCTCTGCTGGAAAGATGAATATTGTTAAGACCTTTCCCTCTCATTATTCCTTAGTTGTGGATTCTATTATTCATTGTCAGCCACATTCTGCCCATGAATATCTCACGATCTCACACAACCAATGAGTAATGCACTGCTTCACTGTTCCCAGTTGAGAGTGAACCTGTGTGGGACTCCTATGTATGTATGTGATGATGACAATGGCTGACCCACCCAACCATCATTTCTTAAAATGATGCTGGTAAATATCTACTATTGGGTAGAAAGCAGTTGGCCTGAGTCATATACCTCTCCATTAATGATAGCATTTCACATCCGTCAGTCCACCCGTCTGCCTGTCTGGTTTTTGTTTTTTCAACCTGGTAGTCTGTATGTCCACTCCAGCACTCAGTTCAATGGCAGTGTAAATAACTCGTATCTAGTCAGATTATCTGGCTGTGCGGGGTCTGGTTCTGAACAGCCACACACTTCAGGCATCATTAACATCATTTAGCTCTTTGTCATTAAGTGGTGCTAAGTCTGTGCTATCCAACTAGAGATTCTAGAACCCAGAAGCATAGACAAAGCTAGAAAAAAAGAGCTTATGAAGAAGCGAATGTGGAGAAGGTGGGGATGGGGAGAGGGCAAGGACAGAGAAGGCAAGCATGCTCTTCATAGTGGACTCCCCTTCTGAAGTAATGGCTCTGGGTGCTGGCTGGCAATATCATTACATGAATGGCCAGGTCTAACCTTCACTCACAGTGCTCTGACTTTGAGAATATAGAAGTGGTACCATGTCTCTGTTTGAAACTCCTTCTTTGACTGATTGGGCATAAAATCACATCCTTAAGTACATTGGCCTTTTCTTTGGGACTCTTCATGGAGAACAATTCTAGTGGGGTGACCTAGACCAGAATACCAGGCAGTGGTATTAAAGAATCAATCCCTTCAAGGCTTGAGTGCTAAGGAAGAGGAGATCCAAGCAAACTGAGCTCTCTCTCACCTGGATCCATTGCTCCTTCCATGACAGCCAATGGAGGATCTGCCAAACACAAAAATACATGTGGATGACAGGTGGCATGGATCTGCACAGCTGTCTGTATACAAGAATCATGAGAAGCTCATGGCAGGCACAGCCCCTCAGCCCCTCCACCCCCAGGCCTCCTGAGTCAGTCTCTAGAGGTGAGATTTGAGCATCAAAGGGCTTTGTGCTACAGTAGTCAAGCAATGTTGATATAGACAGCCTGCTTAGATTTCACTGTATTACTCTCTTGACCCCCAGAAAAATGAGATAATTTTAAAATTAAGATTTTTTTTTAAAAACTAAGACATTAAAAACAGGAGACATAGCTCAGTGGTAGAGTACTTGCCTAGCATGAATATGGTTCTGGGTTCAAACTCCAGCATTGAAAAAAATATTTGTTAAGAACAATCAAAGACATAAAATTCTAGCTCCTAAAACCTCTTCCAGTAACCCAAGGGGCTAGGGATTACAGTTTAGGATTTAGAAATCAGGAGACACACCACTTCAGGGGCCAGACTGAGGGCTCTATTGTAAAGTGATTACCTGGCAAGCACAGGACCCTGAGTTCAGTCTCAAGAACCCTCACACAAAAAGCTGTGTTTAGTGGTACACATTTGCAATCCTAGTGCCAAGGAAGCAGACACAGGTGGATTCCTGGGACTCAGTGGCCAACACATATGTGTATTTGCATGCACAACACACACACACACACACACACACACACACACGCACCCACGCACGCACACATTAAGCTTTTCTTTGGCCCAGCGTTGCTAAGAGATGCTGAGAGGACTTGAAGATGAAGAAGTTTCCCAATATCTCCCCTCTAGCAACTCTTGGTTCAGTATCATCCACTGCAGATTATCCTTCTGGTTCAATTTATTTTCACTGGCAGGATTGACAGCTAGTGGAGGATGTAAATGAAACTTTTCCAGACCTTGGGATACCAGCTTTATTCCTAATCCCCCCCCCTCTCTGTTTGTTTCTCTGTCTCTGACTGAGAATTATCTAAGAGCATATTATCAAAAGGTCTAACGAGAGGGAGAGCCTGAGCATAGGAACTCCAGGGAGGATGAAGGAACACCAACAGCAATGAAAGTTGTGTGAGCCAGGGCTGTACCAGGAGTAAAACGCAGAGGTAGAAAGAGAGTAGAAAGAGAATTGCCTCAGTGGGACAGCGTTTGTCTCACTAGCCTTTCCCCGCTGGGAAGAAAGTGTCTTGGCCATATTTCACATTTCAACCACATCCTACCCACCCATAGGCCACTGTGTCTATGCAAACCTCAAACCTGACTGAACAACCGAGACATCAGTTATCCTGTGTGTAGGATGCACAGTAAAGGAGGAGTGGGGCTAGGACAGCTGACTCTGAGGGCACTGTCTTCCCTCCTCTTGGATAACTGGGTGATTATATCTTGTCATTCTGCTACTCCACTGCCTCAGAGCATATGTCAAATCCAGTTTTCAGCAGAACCTCTTCCTCAAGCTTCCAGTGAGCCACAAACATAAACATCGTCTTCCCTACCTGATAGTGTGGCCATTCCGTATTCAGCATCTACAAAAGTGAGAGAAGAAAACATCAGCTGTGAGGGACTGACATGCTGTCTCTGTGAGGGACTGGTGTGCTGGCACGTGTTCAATAGTTATTTTTACACATAATGTGATAATTAGTTTATCTTCACTGTCAACTTAACTGGAATTGGAACCACCTCTGGACCTATCTGCAAGGACGGTTAGCTGAGGATGAAAGACTATAATTTGATGAGTGAGGATTCCAGGCTGAATAAAAGGGGGGGATGTGGAAAGCAAGCCCCACCTCCGTCTGATCTGGGACTACAGGGGCAGTGAGACAAGCTCGCTTACACTTCCACCACTATGGTGGAGTGTGTCCTCAAATTGTGACCCAAAGCACACTCTTCTTTCCTTTCTTCTTTCTTTCCATCCTTCCTCCCTCCCTCCCTCCCTCTCTCCCTCCCTTCTCTCCTTCCTTCCTCCCTTCCTTCCTTCCTTCCTTCCTTCCTTCCTTCCTTCCTTCCTTCCTTCCTTCTGCTTTTGTTAGCATTTTGCTACAGTGGGAAGAACAGTAACTGACATAGGTGTGAAGGGTATTCTCCTGGAACAGCGGAAGCTAGGCCCTAAAGGGCAGTGGGCCTCACCTGAACAGATAACACTGGCATCTTCACTGTGATCACAGTTGTGGGAGAACCACCCAAGGTGGGAGCACTCCTCCAGGTGCTCCTCATGCCCCTTGCAGTGCACATTGTCAAGGAGAATCTTCCCAGAACCTTGTCCAAAGTAAGCTTCGCTCAGGGCCGAAACAGCCCAGCCACACCCCAGCTGCCTACAGATGATGTTTGCTTCTGGAAGGTCCCAGAGGTCATCACACACAGTCCCCCAGACTCCCTGGTAGAAGAGTTCTACACGGCCTGCACAGTTCCCGTGGTTGCCTGCCAGCCTCACAGGGGCCCAGCCACCTGAGGAAGAAAAAGGAAACAGGGAGATAAATGCCACCTTCTCTGCCCACTGAAGGCTATTGTCTACAACCCAGCCTCTGTTCTTATTTTCCTTGAGCTGCCCAAAGCAGCCTATGCAATTACCCCACTGTGTCCACTCCAGAACCTATGGTAATTTCCTTATCTACATCCTGTTTCAAGACAGCCACACTGTGATGAGTTATTTGCAGAAGTAGCTATCATTCTCTTGACAGTGTGACCCTGAGATGCTCCCAGTGAGCAGCTAGGCTTCTTCTCCCCACCCTACCCACCATTGGCATTATGCTCCAGGCCTGTGGTTCATCTTGGCTGTGAGAGCAGGCACATGGAACTTTCCTCCATGAGCACCCTGGAACATCATGTGGATTAGCTCAGGCTAGCATGCTGGATGACGAAGGACGTGTAGCTGGTCACTTCACTCATTTCTGGAGACAGCTAAAGGAAGGGGGCCAATCCTAGGAGAGGCATCTTCAGCTGACTTTCCAGGGAGTCATGTGCATAGTAAACCAAAGCCACAGCCAGCAAGCTCGACTTAAAACAGCAGATCTGACCAGATAACTTGAAAACTCAAACAATTTTTTAAAAATGGTAGTTATTTCATATGTCTGTGTTTGGGGGACAGTTTTACACGGCAATGGGTAACCTAAGCATTCCTTTACCCATATTCCCTTTTAGATAGCCTGCTCTACTCACAGCCAAAGGAAAACCTGGGGTCAAGGTCATACATCCTGGGATGGAGTCTGCCTGGTTAGGATGGCAACTAAAGTTCACATTGATTCCAGAAGAACCAGTGCACAGCTGCACTGGCTCAGAGTTTGGACCTTTGGATCACTGGAATCAGAAAAAGAGCTTATATAATGTGGGGTTTGAAACTTCCCTGGGGGTAGTGGTAAGTCAGTGGTAAGTGGTAATTGATAGAGAAATTTTTTAGGGTAGTGGCTAACAGCCAAGCATGAGGGTGCACACCTCTAATCTCAGTGCTTGGTAGGCTAAGAAAGGTGGAGTCTTCCCATGAGTTTGAGGCCAGCCTGAGCTACAGAGTTAGACTTTGTTTTTAAAAATAATAATGAAAAAGAAATGTTATAGTTGGGTCATATGGCAATTCTATTTTTTTTTTCTTTCTTTCTTTTGTTTTGAGAAATTCCCAAACTGATTTCCAAAGTACCTGTACTAGTTTATACCCCACTTACAGAGTATAAGGATTCCCTTTTGGATCCATCAATATAATCCACTATATAAACAAACTCAAAGAAAAAAATCATATGATCATTTCACTAGATGCTGAGAAAGCATTTGACAAAATTCAACCTCCCTTCATGGTAAAAGTCTTGGAAAGATTAGGAATTCAAGGCCCATACCTAAACATAGTAAAAGCAATTTACAGCAAACCAGTAACCAACATCAAACTAAATGGAGAGAAACTTGAAGCAATCTCACTAAGATCAGGGACTAGACAAGGCTGCCCACTCTCTCCCTACCTATTCAATATAGTACTGGAAATCCTAGTCAGAGCAATTAGACAACAAAAGGAGGTCAAAGGGATATAAATTGGAAAGGAAGCAGTCAAAATTTCACTATTTGCAGATGATATGATAGTATACTTAAGATCAAAAACTCAGGTGATAGCAGATGCTGGAGAGGATGTGGAGAAAGAGAAACACTCCTCCATTGTTGGTGGGATTGCAAGCTGGTGCAACCATTCTGGAAATCAGTCTGGCAGTTCCTCAGAAAATTGGACATATCATTACCTGAGGACCCAGCTATACCAATCCTGGGCATATTCCCAGAAGATGCTCTAACATATAACAAGGACATATGCTCCACTATTCTCATAGCAGCTTTATTTATAGTAGCCAGAAATATAATATAAATATAATATAAATATAATAGCTAGAAAGAACCCAGATGTTCTTCAACAGAGGAATGGATACAAAAAATGTGGTACATTTACACAATGGAATATTACTCAGCTATTAAAAACAATGAATTTGAGAAATTCTTAGGTAAATGGATGGAACTAGAAAATATTATCTTGAGTGAGGTAACCCAATCACAAAAGAACACACATTGTATTCACTCACTGATTATTGAATTTTAGCCCAGAAGCTTGAAATACCCAATATTCAACTCATAAACCACATAAAGCTCATGAAGAATGAAGACCAAGTCAAGGTGCTTTGGTCCTTCTTAGAAGGAGCAACAAAATACTCAAGGGAGCAAATATGGAGACAAAGTGTGGGACCGAAACTGAAGGAGGGGCTGTCTGGAGACCTGGGTATCCATCCCATGTGCAGTCACCAAAGGTAGATGCTGATGTGGATGTCAGGAAGTACATGCTGACAGGAGCCTGATATAGCTGTCTCCTAGGAGGTCTGCAAGAGTCTGACGTATTCAGAGGCAAATGCTCACAGCTGACCATTGAACTGATCATGGGGTTCCCAATGGAGGAGTTAGAGTGAAGACTGAAGGAGTTGAAAGGGTTTCCAGCCCCATGAGGAGAGCAACAATACCAATCAACTAGAGCCCCCAGAGTCTAAACCACCAGCCTGGGAGCACTTAGGGAGGGACCCATGACTCCATCTATATATGCAAGGGAGGATGGTCCTGTCAGGTATAGGTGGGAGAGGAGATCCTTGGTCCCATGAAGGCTGGACGTCATGTGTGGGGGAATTCGAGGGTGGGGAGGTGGGAATGGGGGGGTAGCTGGGGGCACATCCTCATAGAAGCAGGAGGAGGGGGGATTGAATAGGGAGTTCCTGGGCAGGAAGGGAGGAATGGGGTAAGGGGGTAATATCTGAAGTGTAAATAAAATATCTAATAAAAAAAAGGTTCAACTTTAGTACTCTAATAAAGCCTTACTCAAGCTCAAAAAAAAAAAAAGATGGAATTCAACAACAGAAACAACAGAAAGCCTACAATTCATGGAAACTGAACAATTCTCTACTCAATGATCACTGGGTCGAGAAAGAAATAAAAGAAGAAATTAAAGAATTTCTCTAGAATTCAATGAAAATTAATGTACAGCATGCCCAAACTTACAAAACACAATGAAATCAGTGCTAAGAGGAAAATTCATAGCATTAAATGCCTTCAAAGAAAGTAGTGAGATCCTATGCTATCAACTTATCAGAGCACCTGAAAGCTCAAGAACAAAAAGAAGCAAAACATACCCATGTGGAGTAAACGGCAGGGCTGTCATCAATAAAATAGAAACAAAGAGAATAATACAAAGAATCAATGAAACAAAGAGTTGTTTCTTTAAGAAAATGAACAAGATAATCCCTTATCCAAACTAACTAAAAGAGAAAAAATATCTAAATTAACAAATGAAAAGTGGGACATAACCACAGACCCGAGGAAATCCAAAGAATCAGTAGCTCTCACTTCAAAAGTCTGTACTCCACAGAATTGGAAAATTTTAAAAAAAATGGATGGTTTTCTTGATAGATACCACTTACCAAAGCTAAGTCAAGATCAGGTAAACAAGCTGAAAAGTCCTATAACCTCTAAGGAAATAGAAGCAGTCATTAAAAGTCTCCCACCCCCAAAAGGCCCAGGGCTAGATGGTTTTAGCAAAGAATTCTACCAGATTTTCAAAGAAGAACTGATACCAATACTCCTAAAACTATTCCACAAAATAGAAACAGAAGGAACACTGCCAAATCCATTTTATGGGGCCACAGTCACAGTTACACCTCAACCACACAAAGGCTCAAGAAGAAAGAGAATTTCAGACTAATTTCCCTCATGAACATTGATAAAAATCTACTCAATAAAATATTTGCAAACAGAATCCAAGAATACACCAAAAAGATCATCCACTAGGATCAAGTAGGCATCATCCCAGAGATGCAGGGATGGTTTAACATATGAAAATCTATCAATGTAATCTACCATATAAACAAACTAAAAGAAAAAAAACTTAGGATCATCTTATTTGATACTGGAAAGTCTTTGACAAAATCCAATACTCATTCATAACAAAAAAAAAAATCTTGGGATCAGGGATACAAGGCATAAAGGCAATATCTTTTATTTATTTGTTTATTTATTTATTTATTTATTATGCAACTAAAACAATTATTTATATAGCTCAAACAATCCTGTACAATAAAATAACTTCTGGAGGCATCACCACCCCTGTATTATAGAGCAATAGTAATTAAACCCACATTGTATTGGCATTAGAAACAGTTGATCAATGGAATCAAATTGAAGACCCAGAAGTAAATCCACACACCTATGGGCACTTGACTTTTTTTGATAAAGAAGTCAAAATTATATAATGGAAAAAAGAAAGCATCTTCAACAAATAGTGCTTGTCTAACTGGATATTGGCTTGTAGAAGAATACAAATAGACCCATATCTATCACCCTGCACAAAACTCAAGTTCAAGTGGATCAAAGACCTTATCATAAATCCAGATACACTAAACCTGATAGAACAGAAAGTAGGGAATAGCCTTGAATGCATTGGCACAGGAAATAACTTCCTGAGCAGAATTCCAGTAGCTCATGCACTAAGACCAACAATTAATAAATGTCATCCCATGGAACTGAAAAGCTTCTATAAGGCAAAGGACACCATCAATAGAACAAAATAGCAGCCTACAGAATGGAAAAAGATCTTTACCAAGCCCACATCTGATAGAGTGATGATTTCCAAAATATTCAAAGAACTCAAGAAATCAGATATCAACAAACCAAATAATCCAATTAAAAAATGAGGTACAGAGCTAAACAGAATTCTCAACAGAGGAATCTCTAATGGCCGTGAAACACTTAAAGAAATGTTCACCAACCTTAGCCATCAGGGAAATTCAAATCAAAATGACTCTAAGGTTCCATCTTACACCTGTCAGAATGGCTAATATCAAACATCAAGTGACAGCACATACTGGTGAGGATGTGGAGCAAGGGGAACTGTCAGGAGCCATAATAGGACAAGCTAGTAATTAGCAGTTGATCATCCTGAAATGCTTGCCTCCGATTATTATATAATTTGCAACAAGTGTGTCCCATTCAGCAAGGCTGTGGCAGGACATATTTTAGGAAAGATCCTGCTATTAATATGCTTTTCCTATTATTATTATTATTATTATTAAACGTACGTAACAATCACTAAGCAATAGCACTCCCCTTTGGAGCACATCTCTGCAGACCCATGAAGATGTACTGTCTTGTAGTGATGCTATATAGACAAATATACAACTTCTTAAGTCTTAATGATGATCCTATAAGAATTCCTAAAATTATATCAATGATTATTAAGCTCTTTTATAGTGGGACTGCTATTAAGTCCCTTTCTGATAGTCAAAACTGCAATGAAAACTCTGCCAGTCTCATGAGTGTCATCAGTTAATTGCCCTTAGATAGTAACCAGACTCTCTCCTGCTCAGAGCACATTCCAAGGTGGATGTAAAATAATGAACCAAAGGTCACTAAAAGGGAACTCATGATTTATTATAGGTACTAGGACAGAAGAGAAAATATTGCCTGGGTTTATCTATACAAAACTTCACTAATTTCTTAGTTATAGTTTTAAACTTTCAGTGAACCTGTGGAGATAGACAGGTGATGGATGTTTAGTGAGATAATTACTTCTAATGGATATGCATGTAAACATTATCTGTTGTAAACTTCTATTTCAATTTATGATTTGAGTTTTGGTGTGAACTTGCGACAAACTTTGTAACATGTGATCATGTACTCGACGTTCGTTCGTTAGGAGCCATCTGATCTCCCCCTTCCTTTGTCCCTGCTTAGAATTTCCCCACCTAGAATTTTTCCTCTGTTAGAATTTTTCCCTTTCCCCACTTAGGGCCTTTCCATCTACTCTTTCTCTCTCTCTCTCTCTCTCTCTCTCTCTCTCTCTCTCTCTCTCTCT